TAATGTGGCCATGATGGCTGGGACTGGGCCATATGAATAGAAGTCTCAGCAGGTGGATTAGATGAACATTATTGAACAGGCAGGCAGAATTAGACAGGTGAACAGAGTGAGCCATTATGGCAGCCATCAGGGCCAAGATCATGACTGTAGGAACTTCTCTTCAACATAATACCCATTTGAATTAGTGGAATAGCTACTTACTTGAACTTAGAAGCAAGAAGAGTTGATTTAAGTATAAAGGCATTCCAAGGGCTTATAGAATGGCATTCAAAAACAATTCAGTTTGTGTAATAAATGTGTTAACTTATTTATTGCACCTGCAGTCTGCAAATGTTGGTTAACCCTCGTGACTTGGTCGGATTCCAGCTTTTTAATGATCAAAGGTCTCTTAGAGTTCAGTTTAGTCTATGTCTTACAACACACAATACTGTAGCTTCTCAGCAACTAAAGCTTCCAGGAGAGGAGCCCATGAAGAAATTAGCATTAAGTGAGGGGCTGACTTTGAAAAAAAGTTAAAGGAGAATAATACGTTACCTAATCCAGACTACACTTAAAGCAATTAAGACCAAAGGTTTGAGCAGGGTAGGGTATGGTTAGGGTTAGGATAAGACTGAATAGCAATAATTTTTTATATATAAGCAAAATGGTACAGCAGCAGTTTGTATAAAGGCAGAAAACTGGTAAAATTTGAATGGAACAAGCTCATTCTGAAATAACAACTAAACCTCTGGTTCATGAAACCAAGAGGCCTGCTGGGGCGGTCGAATAAAACTAGTGGGAAATGACAGTTAAAAAAAAATCTTAGTTAACATATTAGATGCTATAAAAAATACACATAAATCTACGTATTTTTTTCCTTTTCGTAAGTAAAATATATGTGATTGTTGCTAATCTTACTTGCTAGGTACTTGACCCGGCTCTGATGCTACATAAGAGGGAAGTTTGCTAACACTGCATGGCCTTGAAAGCAAATGGTAATAATGACAACTCTCTGTCCTTTCATATACAAGACATTGTGCAGAGGTTACATAGGATGTGTTTTCAGAGCATGCAGGGTTTTTTTTTTTTACAGGACCGAATAACCAGTACCAGTTGCTTACAGATGAATGCATTCACCTGGGAATGAGTGAAAATGACTGAGGGTAATTTCCTGAGGAAAACACCATAAAATGCTGGAATCTGTTCCTGTCTTCTTGCAGATGTTCCAAATGCTTTCAATGCTGTAACACCAGAGGATCCCTGGACATTTTTTTCTTTTAAATCTTATTTGTAAACAAATTCTGCTGTCTTCATTCAAATTGAATAAAATGTTGCCAGGTGTAATTATATGGGTTAATTAAATATTTTGCCTTAAGATTTTTCTTTATGTCTTGAATTTGTATTTTAAATTAAAAGATAAGACTATGACTATTCAGGATAATATATTTGTCTATTGTGACTCCTGAACCTTTCAGATTACACAGGTTCCTTTGTTGTTTGCTTTTAAAGATTCTGGTAAAGTGTCGCAATGAATCAGGGTCAGAACAGGGTGTGTAAGGGAAATGCAAGTGTGTCTAAGGAATCCGTTCGTTAAATTCAGCTTGTGGGGCTGAATGTCTGAGTGTGTACCCATAGCAGCACATATATTTTTATCTGTGCTGGTTTATCTGTGAGTTTAAGTTCTTGTCTGTACCATTTCTCTCATCATTTGATTTAAACAAACTTTATTGTCATTTTGTATACATAGAGTGTATACAGGCGGGCTTAGTCTGTGGCTTCTCACTTTTGCTGTTGAATGTTCCTATTGGGAAACCGTATTTGCACAAGCATAATCAGACAAGCATGCACAGGTGATAGATTTAATGTCATGATCCTGCACTTTGTGGACTTTTTGGGTTTGTTTAATTTTTTTTTTGTAGTTTTCATTTTTGTTTATGTCCTTGTGTTTTCTTGGTAATTGTTTCTTTTCCATTTTGTGTTATTGTAGTTGTTTTCTAGATATATTTAAGCAGTGTTGCAATTTTGAGTTACTCTCTGTTGCCCCCCCATTGCCAGTCTTCTTTCAGTAGCTTCTAGTTACTTCTATCCACACCTGCTCCCTATCACCTGATTACCCCGCTCTTTCACCTGTCTCCCCTATATACTTGTCCTTTATAGTTCCTCATGGCCGGTTTTTCTTTATTGCTTTGCTCCATGTGTGTGTTTCTCCCTGGCCTCTCCGGGTTTTGGTTTTCATTTTTCTCCTAACTTCTGTCTATGTTACCATTCTATTTTAACAAATCCTAGAGCAATTCTAATTACGTTTTTTTTTTTCTGTATATACCGAATGGAGCATTAAAGCAAAGCTGGTAATGCTCCACTGGTTGGGTGATGTAAGTCATCTTTAATTCTTTATTATTAGTCAGAACCCTTTCGATTTTTGACTCATAAAAGAACACGTATGAAAAAAGCTTTAAAATGAGCTAAAGAAAAGGACTTAGGAACAAAAACGGCTTAATCTAATAATTTAAATCCAGAACCTACCAAAATATATAGACTTAAGGACTGTGTTACACCCCATGCTTCCAAACCCACAAATATGAATAATATCATTTTTTCCAATGCTTCACCCCCAAAACAATCTGCCTCAGTTGGTCGTTTTTCATCTGGCACATGCATCATTACAGAAGCAATATGCCCTGTTGAACAAAGTCCGAAAAAATGTTTGTGAAATAGCGTTACTTGCTTTGCTTGTTTTTCATTAAAAAAAGAGAGCAGGGTGAGCAGTGTGGGAGTCAAGGGATAAATCTGGTGTCACTGGTATCTAATCATTCTCCATATTCCTTCAGTCTTGGGGCTAAGGAGCATGAATAAACTGTGTGGAACTAGATCAGGGGAAAAAAATGAAGGCAGCATGGAGAATAGGTTAGATCTGAAAGGTAATGAAAAAAGGGAAGAAATGGAGATCTGTGATGTAAGAAGGACCTGAGATTTAAGGGTCTGCTGCACTAAAAGCGTACAAGAAACTCGAGCCAAGTTCCGCGTCCCGCTTCACCTCGCCCCCCACTTACCACTCACCCACCTCATGTAAGAGGATCCCCCAAGCCTACTGCAACCTCTCTCTGCAAATGTCTGACAGCGTAGATATGTGTGTGTGTGTGTGTGTGTGTATGTGTGTGTGGTTATCAAGGGAGCTAAGGATGGGTGGTAATTGAATAATGACAGTCATCCCTCTGATGGATTACCTGTCATTCCTCTATCTTAGCCCCCTCCATCATTGTCATTTCTCTCGTCTTTGCCCCTTTTGCCTCAGAACCTCAGGTCAAATGGCATCCCGTCCTGGGCTTCCCTGGTGCCAGTGTAAATAGAGACACTCAGAAAGTAATGGACGGGTTTCATTATGTTTGCATTTTTCTGCCTGGGTATTATGCTGACTAATTTCCTAGCTTTGATCTGTTAGAAATGTACCCAGTTTTGTTGAATAGAGATTTTTAATTTTTTTTTTTTTTTTTTTTAAGTGGTTTTAAAACATTAAGTTAATTGTTGTTTGCTAATTGTTAGGGGTGTGAGAAAATCTATGACTCCTAATGCAAATGTTCTGCATGAGCCTTGATTTATTTGATTTATATAGTGTATGAAAAAGCACTTTTATTTTCATACATCAGACTAAACATTTCCTATTTTAAGTTAGTGAAACTATCTAATTCCTTACAAATGCTATAGAAAAGAATGAGAGAGAAATTCATTTGAGTTTATTGTGACTTTTTTAGTTTACATTTTTTTAACAAGATTATTCCTTTGAATCATTTATAAAAAAATTTAAAATAATCACACAATAAATTAATTCCCATCTGAGTTTAATGAAGCCGCACCTGATCCTGTGTCGATTTTATTAATATTAATTAATATTGTTTTTGCCATTAACAGTTGAATATGTATCACTGAAAAAACTGATCCATAAAATAAGAATGTGACCGATTAGCCTAAATGCAATTTCTGGCCGGAGCTAAGAGGAGATATCTCACCTATGGACCAGAAGACCATGTAAACTGTATGGAGAAAGTCACTTTGCTATGACTCAAGCTCAGGACCTTCTTGCTGCAAAGCAACAGAGCTAAAAACTGCACCACCTTAAAAACAATTTGTGAGTATGCTCTCAGTGATGTTTTCATATAATGTTTTCATTACTCGAATTGAAACAGTCACCCATTTTGTATGGCTCCATAAAAGCGGAGTAGATGTAGTTATTTCTTGCAGAAGTCGTGCTGTTGTCTCTTCTTGTCAGCTCATCAGTTAAATAGATCCCCCGGTAACTTGTGCTACAAACCCTGTCCAGCTTTGTGAGTCCGATGATCTTAAGGCTTCAATTATTTCCTTGGTCTTAGTGTTACATAACTCATTCGGAAAGCTTCATCTCACTTGGCTGTAATGCATTCCGTGTTTCTAGATTTGTTTTTCCAGGCCAGGCATTTCTATGTGCTGTATTTCCACAAAAAAAATTTGAACTAATTCAGATTTTTCGAAACTTTGTTTTGTTGTGGTCATTTTCATATTTCAACAATATTGATGGGATTTTTTTATTATAATTGTATGGACCAGCTGATTTAAACTACTTGCTTCTTTAATCTCTGATTTAATGTCGTTAAAAAATCATAAAAATCACTCCTTTTCCGATTTCATTGTTGCATTAGAGCAAAAAAGAAGCAGCGGGTGATCCTAGGAGAGTGATTGCAGCATTTTGGTGCAGTGCAGTTCAATCTACAGTATCTGGTCATTGCTAATTGGTTCCCCTCCATCATGTGGAGGCTTTCTCTATAGGATTAATATTGTAAATGAGGTGAAGCTCTGCCAGAGGGGATTGAGACTGTAAGAAGAGGTCTGTGTCTTTGCCGGGACCACTGATGATAATAGTTTGTTCCTGATTTACCAGCTTAACCCTGAGTGTGTGTGATAAAGTGAGAGGGGTCCTTTGCTTTCATGCAAATCGGGATTGTACTGCTGCAACAACCATAATAGTCGATCACAAAAGAAAGAGACAATTATTCGCTTTATCACTGTTTAATTGAATGAAAAAAGGGAGCTCTACATATTCAGACAGAAATGTATTATTCACTAAAAGCCTTGTTTAAATCAGTAGCATGAAAAAGCACCAATTGTTCATATTAAAGTTAAATGTGGGAGTAAGAAAAACCCAGTTGATTACATTTAAAGGCAAGTTCACTTTCAAAACAGAGATTTTTGAACAACATACAAAAAAACATGCTAAGGATGTTTCCTGCTAGGAGTTGCAAAAAGCAAAAGCTGATGAGAAAGTTTATATCTGAACTGGCTGAAGTGTTAGTAAAGCAAAGTAGAAGAGACATGACTTAAAAAGCTATAGACTGCTCTGCTACGTAGAAAAGATGACTCAGAAGGTCAGCAGGTATTTCAAAGTGGTGAGTGATTTTATTTGTAATTGTACACCTTAATTTTACCCGGAAATAAACCAATTTCTATAATCCAGTGAAGTGCTTCATCTGTCTCAGTGCCAACATTCTGCTTCAGAGCTGGCATAAATTACTAATTTCTTTACTCATACTATTCTTCACTTTTTAATTATGCAAGTTTCTATATATAAATAGTTCTGTTTTATCCTAATATCAGAAGCATTAAAAAATGTTTGGCTTTTTGTCTCTCTTCTACTTTGATACCCTTAAATAAATCACTATGCAATCAATTTCCATCACGAGTCAGCAGATCATTCAATCATTAACCTTTTTTAGTTTAAATGCATCATTTTGCAAAGGTTTGGTGGTAAAGCAATATGTGTCTGTTCTATGTATCTCTGCTGTGAAATATGGCTGTGGCAGTATTATGCTGTGGGGATCATTCTCAAGAGGTTGCTTGCTGTGGAATCCTTGTGGTGGAGCTGAAGCAGCTTCAATCTCCCCCAACCAACATCAACCCCACCTAACCGTAACCATTGCTGGGATGGGCTAAGTAAATATGACCAGTGGAGGTTTGGCTTCTGAGGATGTGTGTTAGCTGATGGGAAGCCATGACTGGGATATCATTTTGATTTTGTAACTTGAGTTGTGGATCTTTGGGGACAGACCGACCAAATAGCATCTTACAGGCTATTTACAGTAAGTCGCCATGCTAAAAGAGCAATAGTAAGAAACTGTCTATACATTTTTTATTTGAGTTAGCCTATTGGCCAACTTCCAGGTAATGTAGCAGTAGCAATTGGTGAACTATTGGTGCTGGCTACTGGGTTTGCTGCTGACTGGGTTAAAGTTGAAGAGTGGGATGAGTTGAAGCTGGTTGGACAGCGTTTACTGTGCCTTAGCCTTGCCCATGATTTGCCCATGGTTCAACAGTGAGCACCCCTCCTATCCAACAGTGATAAAAAACAGTCTGAATTTAGCAAATTGTGATGATTTTTTTTTTAAACATGGATTGACCTGCTAACAATCTGTCTATTTTCTTCTATCGCATTTGGTTAAAAAGGCAGCCCTGACCATCTGCTGGCAAGCTGCGTGAACTCTGTCCTCACACTGCTGGGTTACCATTGATGATATCATTAGTGTAACAGAAATCAGGAAAGTAAACAGTGGAGAGCAATATATTGTAATCTTGTTGATTACCTGTCATGTCATGAGGTCGTAACTTCACTGTTTGAACATATCCATGTTTTGTTTTTTTATACTGGTGTCTTGAACAGTGCCTGAAACCTGCCACTGAATCTCCTCTTCTCTGTGGATCAGCTCATGCATCTTTCTGTCTTGCGTGTGCTGTACCATGTTTATCGAATTCAGGCAGAGTTGTTTTGGCTTGTTAAATCAGTATGTACATCAGTTGTGATGTACATACAGTGAGCTAAATTATATCACATTAACATGGTGCGATGTCCGATCAGAAGACGATCATAACCCGCGTTGCTTGCTGAATCGTTATATTGGTGAGTGGTTCCCACTGCCACTTAAAGCAGATTTTTCACGGGTTTAAACAGGGTTTTTTGGACAGATGGATATAGGTATATAAGTGGGTAGATGGTGCCAATGGTGATTGCTGAATAGCATCCAGTGATATTGTGAGAGATCATTAGACTCCAAGTATTAAACTTATGTTTCTTAATAGATTTTGCAAACTCCAGGCCAGGTTAGAGCAGTTAAAGTGATTGTCATGCTTGTCTCAATGTAAGTTAATTAAAGTGTCAAAAATGTTTGTTTCTATACAAAAATAGAGATTTCATGAATCTTTAATATGTTTAAAAAATTTTATTGGTACATGTTTAACTCTTGATAATCACATTCACTGTGGAGTTTTTAAAACAGTGAAATGACTTTCCAACTTTTCTGGAAAGTGTTAGGGGACATAATTCTTCTTTTCGACTTGCTGTTCATGACAATGTGCAAAAGAACTGAACTAACTTTTTTATGGTGTAGAAATGTTCAAAGGGGTTTTAATAATTTTTGCCAAGCAATGGACTTAGCACTGTTAGAGGAGCCGATACGCCTCTTCAATGGATGGGAGAAAAAAAAGATAAAAACAAGCAAGCAGATTTTTAAAAGCAGGTGTGAGGAAATCCGAGTGACGCAAAGGGGTGAGAAAATTTATTCAAGTCAAGAATCCCTTGGTGGTCACAGGACACAATGCATGCCTTCCTCCAAGGCGCGTAGCCTTAAGATACACAATGTGCCCGCATGGTGCAGCCCACCACGCCAGACGTGAGAAAGCACTGATCCAAAGCTGTGAGTTGCATAAGACACCCTATCACATCAGCACACACACAGTTTCCTCTGTCACACACCAGTGATATAAAATACACCAGACTGACAATTAGGGCAATAATGACTGTGGGGAAGCTTGTGTAATTCCCTCAACCACTCACATGCAGACACACACTGTTACAGTAACTGAGACTCCTAATGTCAAAGCTAATAGCACCTGGTTCTTCAGTGCCAGAGACGGACCCTGTGAGAAGGAGGCGGGAGGGTGGAGGTGCTGAAGCTTAGATCAAGTAAGACCCCTTTTCTAGCAGACGCATGGGATTGCAGCAATTTGCAGGACTTTTGGGGGGTTCAGATGATTTCAGCCGGACATATTCTGGATTTGCAGGTTAAAATCTTCAGTAAAATGCAGAAGGATTAGTTATAATTACAACAGGAACCAGAGCTGTTATTTTCTACATTATTACCAAGTTATTATTATGGAGTTGTTTTTTTAAAGCTGATGAGCTGTTTTATGTGTTGTCCTGTCCTCACAGCTGCTACATTGGACAACCCACCAAGTGAGTGGAGGGCAATGATAAAAAGAGAGAGATGGGGGATTGGGGGAAGAACAAAAATTTACAACGTAAAGCAAAACAGGAAAAAATGAAAATGATGGTGAAGCAGAGGGACACAGATGGCAGGGCGGAAAGGCAGAACACTAGCATGCAGACAGCAGGATGGGGTGGACTGGGTATCTTCCCCCTCTTCCATCAGCAGAAACCTGTTTGTGGGAAACAGCAGTAATGAGAGCAGCTGCAGTGGATGCACACACTCACAACATACACAATCACACACCAAAAAAAAAAAAGCAGAAAACACTTATCCAGCCACTTAGCCACCCACTCCTCATAAGCAAACCCACATAAAACCCAATTGTGCACATAGGCGAATAGGCGGACATCATCACTCTTACCCTCACACTCGAAGGCCTGCAGAATGGTGGTGTAACTGGGGCCCAGCCAAGAGGTGTAACTACCCAGAACTCTCTGCAGGTGGTGGGTGGCATCGCTGAACAGCAGATCGGATTGGCCGTAGCCCGCCGAGCTAAACAGGCTGAAGCCCTCTGTGGCATTGCCAAACACATTCTGCAGGAGAGACAGCGTGTGACAGCATTTAATGCATGAGAGCATGCATGGATGTGCGTTGGCGTATTCTGGGAACATGTGTGACTTTGAGATTGAAAGCATGTGCAGCTGGAGGAACATCACAGAATATATCAGTCTCACACACTCATTCAAAAAAGGAAGCAGGGGTTTGGGGGTTCCCAACTATTCATCTCTTCAGCGTGCAGTGCAGATCAATATTCTTTACAAAAATTATGCATTGAATACATACACTTACTGGCCAGTTTATCAGATAAACTTTCCTTAATACCTGATGCCTCACAAGGTTTTGGAAACATTTGCTTCACATTGACCTGTTAGCATCAAGATAATGCAGATCTGTAGGATTCAAATCGAAAGCATTTGAATAACAGTGAACACATAATGGTCGAAATGATTTAAAAGACACTATCAGTTTTGTTCAGGTTGCAACAAGGGGCCAAATGTGTAATAAGAGCATTTATTTGTCCAGTAGTTGATTTATTAATCTGGTTGGTGATTAGAGTTACTGTGGTCTTTCTATTATTTGAAACCAGTCCCCTCTAACTTAAATAAATCCCCACAGATCTCCCTAATAATTTTTTTCCCTTTTCAGCCAATTTTCAATATGCCAACAGATTTTTTTTTTTTTTGGTGTGAAATATTAAGACCAAAGATATAATAGTCGTGGATTATACATTACAGTTACAGTTTTTTCTCTAATCCAGTTTGTTTTGATTGGTTTTTAATTTCCTAGTTTTTAATATTATTATTATATTAGTTAAGCATGGTTTTAGTTTAGTTTTCATTAGTTCTAGAACTAGTTTTATTTTTTCATATATGTAGGTCATTGTATATTATACCGTAGTATAGATAGTATACTGTAGTAAATATGTAATAAAAACTCAAAAAATTCCACTGCATTTCAGTTTTATTTATTTGTAAAAGACATATTTAATTACAGCTGATGTAAACCAATTTTTCATAAAGACTTTTAGTTTACAGATAAACTAATAAACATGAGAACGAAAGGTATATACTTACAGTTTTGGGAAACTTTAGTTAATTTTACAAATTATACAGCTCCAGTTAGTTATAGTTTCTCCCTATTATTACAGTTTTTATAAATGTAATCATTTAGGACATTTCAGCTTTTGTTTTTCATTAGTCTTAGTTAAATATAGCAACTGTCTCTGGTCCAGCCCACTCTGGTGGACAACTAGGAACCATGAGAAATTCAAAGTCACATTAATCTGTTCTCTTTACCATTCTGATCTGCAGTTTCAACATCTGTAAGTTGTGCAAAAATGCATCAAGTCACTGCCATGTGCTGGGTTGAATCCCCAGTTATGTTGCAAGGTATTGAACATATATACTTAATAAAGTGGCCAGGGAGTGGCTGCAGGGGGCAACTACTACAGATAGCTGATGCACCCTACCTGTAAACGCTCCAGGAATTTCCAGACACGGCACTTATCCTCCATGCGCACCACCACCCCGTTGGCAGGGACAGCTGACAGGTGGCATCGCAGAAACTCATGCAGACCTGCCTCTGTCCCGTCTGGACACAGCAGCTTGAGATCCTCCAGCTCTAAATCCAAGGCCCAGGATTCCTGGTTCTTACCTTCATGAATGTGTAAACAAGACTGACTTCAGCCTTTAAAAAAGCTGGAATGTTTTGTTAATAAACATATTGGACAAAATGCAACTTTTATCAAATAACGTTCCAACAGTGCATATTTCCCCGTTGCTATTATTCTTCAAATTTAACCTTCCCATATCCAGACAGATGGCTGGGTGAAAAGAGCTAGGCCACCTTGATGCTGAGTTTCCCCAAGACATCAGCCCAAACCTTCCATGCTCTTCTGACCTCCCCTAATTGGTGCCACCCTAGACCTTTCTGAAGCATATGATGCAGCAAGCTTTGTTAAACAGCTGCAACATTCATGGGGATGGTGCCAAGCTCCTTCTTTTACTCTGTTCCAGCAGAGTCCGTGCAGCATGACTGTGATAATAATCACCATTAATTTTGGATGTTGCCCAAAGCAAAGGAGCAGATGCAGCAAGCTGAGAATTACGGTTGCTATTACTGGACAAAAAAAAAAAATGCCTGGGCATCTGTTTGTTATGATATCACTTTTTGGGGGGGGCTTAATTCCTGTTTTCCCATCCATCTTTTTGTCTTTATAAATCTCATGGGGAGATATATTGATTTGCCTCACTGAATTTCAGTGAAATTTGCACATTTATCCCAGACTGCACAGTTTTAGAAAGCAGAAATACTTTGTGCCACAATGACATCTTCTGTCTAGACTGGGAACTGCAATCCCAGTTGAATACAGACAAACCAACAGCAGTAAATTTCATCACCATCTGTGTATTCTGGAATGTTCAGAAGGAATATTTTTGCACTCACCATCCAAATTATCAAAGACAGTTGTATGTTTGACAAACGCAACATCGCCGAGGTTCTCAGCAACACACCTGAGAGGAAAAAAGGTACAAACAATATTGTCAAATTTTCTTTAATCCTGTTTTTCTCTCCTCAGATACATACAAAAATTTGCTCATATATTATTTTTGGTGCAGAGCTAACAGCATTTATCTTCACCACAGTGAAAATCTCTAGAATAACTTTATTCTGGATTATGTCAACATTTCCTTTAATTAAAGGACTATTACATGCCTACCAGCCCCTTACAAATTAATGCACCTGGTATATTGTAAGTTGAATGTAGCTTCTAGGAATCTCTAATCAATTATTTAAATTTCCCTGAAGAATAAATCTGCTGTTTCACAAATACTCTGTTAGTTACTACTGTAACTTTTTGACAAAAATGTCTTTTTAGGAGTAGTTTTACTGCAACATACTTTTTACTTTCACACATGTAAGATCTTAGTAAAATATTGCTACTCTTGAATAAAATGCTTGGCTACCCTATCAACCCTGCGTAGAGCAGACAAGCTTGTTTTTTTCTTTCCAAAAAGTTATCCAAACAAAGACAAACAATGAAAAGTTACACTAATATACAGTAAGGAATAAACATTGTCAGTGAATGTACTTTCAACCAGTGCTTCCTAAAGTGGGGGGCGCACCTCCTAGAGGGAGTTCAGTCTAACCGCCAATATTTTGATCTTTCTTATTAGATTATTTTAATTGGTTGTGATGACTTGTAAAGTATTTTAATAGCCTTTTCCTAATAGATACTTTTTTACTCTTACTTGAGTAATTTTCTAAACAACTACAATAAAGTAGTGCTACTGTTAGCTGAGTTCAATAATGGGTACTATACCCACCTCCTTCTATATGACATGAAAATCAGGGGCTTAAGTCTTTAAGTCACTGGCCACCAGGCATGAAATGGTCCAAAATAGTCTCCCCTCAAAATATAAATCAGTAGGGTGGTAATAAAGGGAAAAAATTATATTTTTAGAGTTTACTGCAATAAAAGGAAACACTTCGGTGTTATAAATGCTGGTTTAGACATGTTGCTTGAAGGGAAAGGCTTTTCTGTGAGGAGCTTGCTAATACAATGTAAAGTTTGGTGGGGGGATTCTGCAATGAGTTTTCCCCATCTTTTTCTAACGATACTGGGAAACTTGTCTGAAGTGTTGGGACTCTTTGGGTAAATGTTATTCTGCCAATGTTGGATAGTTTCTATTATAAAACATGAAGAGATGATAAAAATCTTGTGGAAAGCCTTGCTTTGCTGAGTACTTCTAATCTATTATTGTCTCCTCTTGAGCAGAAGTATTTCTCTCATAACAGACATTTTTTTCCTGCGCTAACCCTTTTTTCCAGGTTGCAGCAGATCTTTCAGAAATGGGTGTTATGGGTGAGTTTATTCCTGGAAGAGTTCGTGAAGTAGGAGTACCTCAGGGCCCCTGCCTCTCCGTAATGTCTTTCTCTATGGTTGTTGACACAGATGTGTCTGTCGTTCTCGTCTCCTATGCAAGCCTCACAAAGGTTCTTGGGGTTGTTTCCTCTGGGATCATGTAGGGGGTCCTTAATGCCGGGCACACAGCTGTAGCCAAAGAAGTTCCCCACAGCTGGCAGGAGGAATGGAGAACTAGTCAGCAGCAATCACAGAACCTAAGAAATTTGTTTTTCCATCATTTCACCTTCTTTTTTTTTAAAACCAGAAGGTATTCATATTTTACTAAAGCGATGGAAAACAACTTCAATTTGAATGAGTGTCCAACAATTCAGCACAAACCCAATAAGTAACAAGGCCTGTAAATTATCTTATCTGTTCTTTTACTGTTCTTGAGAATTTTGGCCCATTCCCACCTCCAGCCCTTCACCGCTCTGCTTCCCCCACTTCCTGCCTCCATAAATCTCAAATACCTTCCATGCATCAGTGTACACCACCACACACCAGCACACACGGCTTTCACGCTTGGTTTCACCTTTGGGGAAATTGCACTGCTCTCCTACACTGATTTGGGATGTGTTAACCAAGTAGCCGATGGGAACAGTCCAGCCCACTGTGGTACGGATGCCGGGGTGACAGGAGCTGCGTTCATGCATCTCCAGCAAAGAGAGGTCTGAAGAGGAGCGCCGGGCCATTGCCACCACATAGTAGCTGATTCCATCTGGAATAAGGTGTAGGGACAGATGTTAAAACAGAAAACCACTGATACTGACCATATTTGGACAATCGGACAATATTTGCTACAAATCGGTAATTACTAGATGATCACATTTGTTTGACTTTATTTGTTAAATGAGCACAAATTATTTTGAATAATCAACTCACTGCATGCACTTTTTTTTGCTGAATATTAAATAGTTTGATGTTATTAATATCGTTTTGGATTTAAAGGGTTCTACCATTCCATTACAAAAACTGTGCACATTATTTCCCTTTCACTTTCAAAGTCTTAAGAATGAATAAAAAATCTGGCCAGTCAGACAGTGAAAACCAAATCAGTGCATTTCTACTAAATGTACATCTTTAAATAAAACCTCTTGTCTAAGTGCTGCATGTTGGCAACATATTTCTTACCGACTCCATTGTGAGACTCCCCTGCTGCGAGCTCTAGACCATAGCAAAGACCAGCAGCGTAGATATCATCTGCAAACATTGAAGCTGCATCCGCCGTGCCGTTCTGTGAAATCACACATTTCATTTAAGTAATCCAAAATTAGTGCTTAAACAGTTTTTAGAAAAGGTGTGAACCATATGCTGAAAGATGAGAAGCTGAAAAGAAATAACTTTTAAAATCTGTTTTAATACACTAAAAACATTAAAGTGGTTCTTGGATCTTGCACCAGCAGGCATGACATAAGGATAACTTTATCAGGACTGAACATCTTCATGTGTTGAAAATTTGAACCTTCATGATGGCTCTGAGTGTTTTTAAGGTTTCTGGTATGCCTTTAATGAATTAAACTGGGCTAATACTTTTAAATTGCTTCATAACTGTGATTGAAATGTACTTTTAAAACATCTGTAAATATTATTATCAAACATGAGAACTTTACCAAAATAATTTTAAATGTTATTTCAATACACAGAAAGTCTAGCACATTGATATAAATATGCGACATGCATACACTCAGTGTATTAAAATCAATATTGACAGATTGCATTTTTAATTCATGCAGAAATACCCATCTGTTGTCTGTACTAGCTAATCCATGCAGCATCACATAAAAAAAAATCCAAAATATAACTAATAGTAGTAGAAAATGTATATACCTAAGTAAATATGCCCATTTATCATATCATTCCATGTATGTTCTTAGTAGTGCCAACAAATGCAATATGTTATAGTGTGTTAAAGTAAGAATACTTTAATAATTACAATATATTGTGCTAGAAATTTTAAATATATTTTTGGAAAACTGCTTCATATTGTTGTTTTTTACTAGAAGAGCTCTGCCAAAATTGATGTTTCTGTTTTCAACTTATTAAGGTTCAATTAACAAAAACAATCAAATAACTGTAGCCCTATTCAGTATTTCCGTATACCTTGATTTTTTCCATGCAGTCTCTGGTGTTCTGGCCACGGACGCACAACAGGGACCCCCTCACGTTCTTGGCCGTGGCATTACCGGCTAAATCCAGGCACTTCTGTTCCTCGGCATCCGATAGCACACACCAGGAGACTGACCAGAGAAGATTTTTTCCATGTTAAAGGATGATCACATGAAAATGTTTCTTACTGTTAACTTTCTTTTCTTTTATTCCCTAGAAACAAAGCCTTCCTCTGATGTACCTGTAGTTTTTTGATGGGAGACACAGTTGACTCTCAGAAGAGGCAGAAAAAGCAGAAAAGCTGCAGTATATCTCTCCATGTCGGCTCTGGTCTAAGACAACCTTCTGAATGATTCTGTTTGTCAGCAGAGGAAAAGACCAGGTGGAATTCATGGGTTAAGAAAAAGTAATTCAGCCCCCTCCCTCTCAAATAACCTTTACAGAGAGAGGAGGTATAAAGTAAGGGAATGAGGAAGGTAGATTGAATGTAGAAAGAAGAAAAAAAATCACATTATTCCTCCATCCTTGACTCTTAAATCGCGGGTTCTCATTAGATAATCCTTTCCTCCGTCTCATGATAGCAGTCTAGCATTTCCCCCTTCAATTATCCACTGAGATTTAAGCTCCATGAAGAGGATTTTGGTGAACTCATGTGGGCATGCAGCAGCTCAGGTCACCTGGCACGGAGTCTTAAGCAGGGCTCTTTAATTAAAAGAAGTAGGGGACAATGTGTCTCTGTGCAGGAGAGGTTGTTTGTGGAGAAAAGATACGGCTGGGTCCTGCTCCGACTCACCGGAGTCTAAAGCCCCAAGACAGCAAGAACAAACAGCGTTGGTCGTTGTTCTTGCCCAACAGACCCAGTGAAGGGAATGCATATCATCTACTGGATATAGTTATCCAATTTTTCTACCTTTACAGAAAGCTAATAAACTCTGTCACACATGATAATTTATAAGCATTATTAAAAGACAGTTTTTATTCTCTGTTTCTGCACATATGAAATAACGTTTACCGATCCTTCTTTACAGAATAAGTTTAGCCCTGCTGGAATTAATGGAGGGCATCCACGAACAATAGTTTTAAAGCCTTGCCACAAATTATGGTCTTGTTAGACCCCCTCCTCAGCTTTTAGAGCACTTAATCATCCTGATAAACTGTTTTATTTTTATTCTCATACTTCAGTTAGCAGCTTTAGTGTGTCTAAAAATTGTTTTTTTTTTTCCGAATTTATGAGCAAATATGTTGAACTCCTAAGGGCTCAATGCTGTGTCCTGTTTTCTTCTACTTAAAGTTCACATCCGTACTTTAGGTCAAGTGATTCAGAGGATTTTGTCAATTAAATATAGGTTCTCTATACACTAGAAAATTTAAATCTAATTACGGTAAGTCAATAAGTGCATTTTTTTAAATAAGAGAAAACACAACTACAGACTCTTATTTCAATTGCATAATATATGATAATTTTATTTAAAGGATAAAAGCACATTAAATTGGCAGATTACATTATTTACTTACTCATGTTTTTTTGTACTCATTTTAGATCATTCTTGCAGTGTTTTGTTTATGTAAGACTGATGTTCACATACTGCAGGGTTTGATTAAGCAGCCCCACAAACGTTAAGTGGTTGTTGAGTAACAACTACGTAAAGCTAAACCCAGACAAATGTAGTTCAAAGCACCATCATGTCTCACCAGACATCACTATGTCATAATTTAAACAGCAGGTGGTTGATTTACGACTCCCACTGAAATGCAAAATCAGAAATGTAAGTTGTTGCTTTTTTTGAAGGTTGCATAATTGCTCTGTTAAATACAATTCACCTTTTCAGTGAACTGTGATAAAAGTCCAACCATAAAATGTACCCGCTGTTCTAGTTGGTGTTCTTAAATTGCAGGTAAAGATCAGAGCAGCACAGTTATATCAAATGTCTCTATGAAGAAACATAAAGCTGACTGCAGCTGCTATTTAACCACCAAAACTTCCCCTAAAAACCTTTTCTGTTTGGGCGTTGTTTTTAAATACCTGAATAAATTTTCCTCTTTCACTTTTTTATTTTTGTTCTCAGTTTTTCCTCATTGCTCACTTCTTCTTGTTGGTATTGGGGCTCTGTCTCTTTTATCCGTATCCATCTTCTCTCCCCATCCATTATTTTCCTTTTGTCCATCTAGGAGCAAGTACTGATTCATTTATTAATATTTCACAACAGCACATCTTAACACCATAACCTAAACTGACTGCTTGCTAATTTCCAAATAAGTTTACCTTCACTTAACTCCACGTAGATTATAAACAGTCAGTACTTTTTTCTATAACCATTTCTGACTTGGTTAGTTACCAGTCATTAGTCCAACACTCTCTAAGGAACTGGAGAGATCCTTATCTCAGTATCCTGAGCTCAGTCTCAGGATACTTCCTCTAAATTGTGTGCACCATGAAACTGGAGCTTTTTTATTGGTTAATCTTTATATTATATACCAAGAATTCAGACAAATATAATTTATTCCTTATAATATGTGAAACTAATATTATATTGTAAAATTCTACTTTTTTCTTATCCTTCTTGGTTATGTTTTAACCAGGCTGTGTTTTCTCTTTCAGCCTCCATGTCTGCCACTGAGTCAGAGGAGGTCATATCATTCAAACTTCCATAGAATCAGGTAGTTTAGCTCTATTGTATAAATGTTTCTTAGACAAGTATTATTAGATCAGTCAACAAGATTAGGAGTGGAAATTCATGCGCTACTATCGATCAAGTTCTTGGGTTCATCTCATTAAATGTATTGAAAGAAAGGATCAAATCAATTATTTTGGATATCACTATCCTATTAAATACAATACTGCATTATTAATTTGGGGTTCAATGAGAAATGTATGAAATAACTGCAAACTTTTAAAACTAAATATTTGGTCCAATAAAATCAGCTCTCCTCAGCTGTCTCCTGCTCAGAGCTTTTCTCCTCCCTGTGGTACTCAGCTCTGACCGCTCCTAAGGCTGAAGCAGAAACGATGCACAGTTGCTGTGTCCTCTGACAGGTGCACATATCTCCAAATATTGGATCCTATTCTTTACCAATATATGGATTAACAACTGTTCTGAAATCTGGACTGAAAACAACTGATGCTGGTGTAACCTGTTGGAAAAAGAAAAAGAACTGTTAGTTGCTGTACCTAAAAAAAAGAAGAGAAAAAAAGAACCTACCTGTTACTTACCTGAATATGGAAAAAAAAATGTTACAATAGTTAGAAGTGTTTTATATTTTCATTTCATTGGGTATAATTTGTTGTCTTTATTTCATCCTGTATTTAATTAATTTATTTTATCCCATAGGTTTATTTCCATTTTAAGAGTGGTTCTGTGAAGGGAAAGAAATCCCATTCGCTTACACTGGGCTTCACAGTCTGCCTGCTTGCTGCATGAGGAGCAAATATTGCCCACATCACAGAGGCCAACGTTAACATGGTGACTGGGGGCCTTGTCATGTTATTTCTTCTACAAAAACAATGATAAGTTACACTACTAACAAATGATTTTATTAGGTGTCAAAGTGGGATTTACAGATAAAATAATGAATAAAAAAATATATATATAGATTGACGAGAAAGGCAATGGTGGGCAGGGGACAAAAGGGGCTGGTGCTCAACCCCCCTCCGCTCATACGCTTGGGCAAAACTCTTGATGGTGACTTGTTGGTGATTAGAGGGAACCATGGTGCCAAATATGTCACACCTTCGCTTTTATCAGCTTACACAGAAATAGCTGTGTCTGCATAAATAGCTTACCTTCTTCAGTGTGTGAAGGTGTGTCTGAAGGACTAAATGTAGAGCAGTGGGGCCCTAAGGGCTAAAAGGCTGCAAGTGCAGGTCATTTAGCAGTATCTATTTATAAAACTTTATCTATAAAGGAGTTCAAATAAACACAGTGGCCAATGACATAAAAACTGGCACAGAGCTTCCCTGCTTAACAGTCACAATCAAAGACAGAGGTAATTTATTGTTACATTTTCTAACATAGAAAGTATATATGAATCTATGCTCCTCTTGTATCTCTGTTTCTCTTATCTTGAGTCTCCACACTAAGTCTGATTCTGCAGGAGGTTTCCTCCTGTTAAAAGGGAGTATTTCCTCTCCACTGTCACTGGATGCATGCTCAGTGTGAGGGATTGCTGTAGAGTCAACGACAAAATGCAAGATACTGTCTCTCAAGGAGGAGCAAATACTGCAAGTCAAAGACTCAATGCAATCAGCTGCTTTTCTTAAGATAGAAACTTTTTTTCAGATCAGACTGTATGATCTGATTTAATTGTCTCTATAAAGTGCCTTGAGGTGACATGTTAATTGGTGTTTTAAAAATGAACTGAACTAAAATTGAATTGAAAGTTCTGTATGGATGAATTACACCTAACTTTAGGAGAACTGATAAAACTCCAGAAGCATATCAAAGGAGAATAGATGGACGTAAAACCACATAAGGTCAGCATAAAACCAATACTCCGAATAGTAAAGCCAGAGCCTAATGACCAGCATCAGATTACTCCAGATTTTTGGCTATAGAGAGGATCGGATAAAGAACTAAACATTCGCTGAGCTAAGAAAACTGGGTGGAATGTAGGTAGGGCTGTAAAATCTCTTAGATGTAGAGCGGTGAGAAGCCATTCAAAGGCTTTAAAATACATGTAAGAATCTTTGTATGAGAGAGTAAAGTTCAGTTTTTGTTCCACTTTCTTTCTATGAAGACCTCCATGAAGGTCAGATTTGTGGATTGGACAATTTATCGTCATCTTTTCAGCTAATGGACTGAACAGTGCTGTGGATTATGAGTTTGGAATATTGTTTGATGAGCTTACACCTTAAAAGCTGAGCAGTCTGCTGTGTCCTTTCATTTTTATGATGCTGATTGTTCTTTAAATGTTCTCCAAAAACAAAGTCTGAGGACTTCTTACAATTGCTGCATTTATAATGACATTTAATCAAATAAAGGCAGATTCTGTTTCCTGATTCGGCCAATTCTGGATAAACTGGGATTAATTTACAGGTTCCAGTTTCAGAAGGAGTTGAAATTGTACTACAGTGATGGCAAAGTGTTTTCTTTAGATTTCTACTCTAGAGTAACATTACCTGAAAAATGCAATTAAAAAATGGTGTCATATGATTTTTCCTTGTATTTTTTGTGTATATTTTATTGAATTAACATTATAATGTAAAAAATGTAAACTGAACTTAAGCAACTTGTTTGAGAACAAGTACCAACGTTAATGATGTAATCAGTTGAGTGAGTCCTACATACAGGTGCTGGTCATAAAATTAGAATATCATGAAAAAGTAGATTGATTTCAGTAATTCCATTTAAAAAGTGAAACTTGTATATTATATTCATACATTACATACAAACTCATATATTTCAGATGTTTATTTTGTTTAATTTTGATGATTACAAATGACAACAAATGAAAATCTCAAATTCATCATATCAGAAAATTAGAATATTGTGAAAAGGTTCAAAATTGATGGCCCCTGGTGCAACACTCTAATCAGCTAATTAACTCAAACCACCTGCAAAAGCCTTTAAATGGTCTTTCAGTCTAGTTCTATAGGCTACACAATCATGGGGAAGACTGCTGACTTGACAGTTGTCCAAAAGACGACCATCGACACCTTGCACAAGGAGGGCAAGACACAAAAGGTCATCGCTAAAGAGGCTGGCTGTTCACAGAGCTCAGTGTCCAAGCACATTAATAGAGAGGCGAAGGGAAGGAAAAGATGTGGTCGAAAAAAGTGTACAAGCAAGAGAGATAACCGCACCCTGGAGAGGATTGTGAAACAAAACCCCTTCAAAAATGTGGGGGAGATTCACAAAGAGTGGACTGCAGCTGGAGTGAGTGCTTCAAGAACCACCACACACAGACGTATGAAAGACATGGGTTTCTGCTGTCGCATTCCTTGTGTCAAGCCACTCTTGAACCACAGACAGCGTCAGAAGCGTCTTGCCTGGGCTAAAGAGAAACAGGACTGGACTGCTGGTGAGTGGTCCAAAGTCATGTTCTCTGATGAAAGTAAATTTTGCATTTCCTTTGGAAATCAAGGTCCCAGAGTCTGGAGGAAAAGAAGAGAGGCACTTCATCCACGTTGCTTGAAGTCAAGTGTAAAGTTTCCACAGTCAGTGATGGTTTGGGGTGCCATGTCATCTGCTGGTGTTGGTCCATTGTGTTTTCTGAGGTCCAGGGTCAACGCAGCCACATACCAGGAAGTTTTAGAGCACTTCATGCTTCCTGCAGCTGACCAACTTTTTGGAGATGCAGATTTCATTTTCCAACAGGACTTGGCACCTGCACACAGTGCCAAAGCTACCAGTACCTGGTTGAAGGACCATGGTATCCCTGTTCTTAATTGGCCAGCAAACTCTCCTGACCTTAACCCCATAGAAAATCTATGGGGTATTGTGAAGAAGAAGATGCAATACACCAGACCCAACAATTCAGAAGAGCTAAAAGCCACTATTAGAGCAACCTGGGCTATCATAACACCTGAGCAGTGCCACAGACTGATCGACTCCATGCCACGCCGCATTGCTGCAGTAATACAGGCCAAAGGAGGCCCAACTAAATACTGAGTGCTGTACATGCTCATACTTTTCATGTTCATACTTTTCAGTTGGCCAACATTTCTATAAATCCTTTGTTTTTATTGGTCTTCAGTAATATTCTAATTTTCTGATATGATGAATTTGAGATTTTCATTTGTTGTCATTTGTAATCATCAAAATTAAACAAAATAAACATCTGAAATATATGAGTTTGTATGTAATGTATGAATATAATATACAAGTTTCACTTTTTAAATGGAATTACTGAAATCAATCTATTTTTTCATGATATTCTAATTTTATGACCAGCACCTGTAATTCACCGCTGCACAGCAATGTTGATTGCAAACATATTGTGATATTTTGTATTATGACTAAAATATCCAACACTATATTTTTTCCGGGATGTGACCATTCTTGGTTTTCCCCGGACACAGAAATTCAGAAATACATTGCCTTTCATGCACTTATGTATTTTTTTTTTTTCAACCTTCAGGGATTCTACTTGTTGGGTTAAAAACAATACCTCATGCCTTTAGGTGTTATTTTATGCTCACACTGGATAATGTTTGATTTTGTGACAATCTGATATTATTGAATTTTTTTATATTATTGATTTTTTTCCTTCCTTACTTTTTTGTGTGTTTATTTGTTTTTAACAGGAATTGTTTAAAATAATTTTCTTTATGTATTGCCATGGTCTTAGCATCATCTATATTTGGGCACAAATACAGTAACTGGTGATAAATTACACTGTAATTTCATCTGAATTATAAAATAAAGTCAACAGACCATTGTTGAGCCATTGTTGAATTAAATAGTTGAAACTTGACATAAAAGCAGAAAACGTCCCTAAATTATAATCCTTATATGTCTAAACCTAACATGAAAGGAAAACCCCTGATGAGGATTCCTTACCTTATTCTGCATTTGGATACATGAGATCAGTTTCTTCTTCCTCATGGCTTTACCTATTCAGTGATATTACATCTTATCCGATGTTTTCATTCTCACTGGGAGGTGAACTAACATTGCTACCACCTATAGGCCAGGAGAAAATTACCTGCATTGATGAGAGGACATTCTTGAGCACAATAGGACGTATCTTCAAAAGAGTAAAACCTTGGTTTGGAAAAAGAAATAGAAGTTTCTTGCATTCATAGATTTGATTTAAGAAATTGAATAATATGTGTGGAATTAACACTGATGAAGCTGTGCAGGTTATGGACTCCAAAAGATCCATTGATCAGAGTTTAGTGACCAAACAAAGCATTTATCCAAACTGGTCACATACAGCTTTACAGAAAATTAATCAAACATTGACAAGTCTCTAAAGATCTGTGAAACTATATACCCAGAGGACCATGAAATACATTATAAGAAGTTTGATAAGACGTATGAACTATTACCAGGGCCGCCCGACAGACAAAACTCAACCCCCTCATTAAAACAGAAGAACATATAATAAAACAGCCTAAATGAAGTGAGACCAAAAATAAAAGTCACTGAATACATAAAGTAGCCTTACTAAATCAAAGTGTCACAAAATAATACTACATTAGGAAATAAATAAATGATAACATAAATAAATCGAATAAAAATCGAATAAAAAAATTCTAGAAATACAATAAAATAAAACTAGATCAAACCTATTTCAACATATTCATTTTGTTTTGTTTCATGGGGATACTCATTTATTAAAAGGAACTTTTATTGACAATTTACCAATAGCAGTATCTATGTACTAACTGAATTTTGAATGAAACAGCTCTCCATATATACGCATGACTTCTGTCAAATAAAAAAAGAGTTGGTTATTTGGTCTGGTTTGTTCCAGATGTAACACCTTTGGAAAGCAGGAAAAACTCTAAAAGGTTAAGCCGAGAAAAACAATCCGGATCAATGAAAACATATATTTTTTTTAAAAGTTAACTGATGTTTAAATTTTATTTCAGTTTAATATGGGAAAAAGTCAGTATTCTGACTTTTTTCTCAGATTTCTGACTTTAATCTCAGAATTCTGACCTTTTTTTCTCAGATTTCTGGCTTTTTTTCCCACATAATTCTGACTCTAATCTCAGAATTCTGAATTTGATCTCAGATTTCTGACTTTTCCTCTCATAATTCTGACTTTAATCTTATAATTCTGACTTTTTTCCTCACATTTCTGACTGTTCTCTCAGAATTCTGACTTTTTTCTCAGAATTCTGACTTTTTTCCCATATTAAACTGAAATAAAATTTAAAAATCAGTTAACTTTTTTTTTTTTTTTTTTTGTAGTTTTTCAGTGGCCCTAATCCTCTTCCGTATATTTCTTTGTATGGAGATAGAAAATCAGTATTAGATTGATCTAATGTTGCAAACAGCGCCATCTTGTCTTCAGAAAGTGTCGGAGGACTCTGCTGCCCCACAATGCTTAGCGGTGCTAATGTTTTGGTGACGTCTGGAGAGGAAAACAGCCAGTGAGTGGGCTGGGCTGGATCCCTGCTTTCGGTTATTTTACACTCCGAATAACGCTGCTATGAATAAATGAGCCTCCATTGTGGATATTTGGATATCCGAGAATGAGCTAGAAGCCGTATCTTTGCCAGGTAAGTGGCTGTTTTCCTCATTCATGTCACGCTGTCAAAGTTAGCCTCTGTGCCCCACAGATAGCTTAGCTCAATTGGCTAACAGCCTGTCTGACTGGCGCCTCTCAGGCGGCTGTAGAAGGACAATAAAGCCGCCTGTGATCGGGTCCAGCTAACCAGCAGGGCTCCATCTTCTGAATTTAACCCTTACTAAACATATCGGTTGAATGTTTTTTCAGTCTGAAGGTTTTAACATTAAAATGAATGCGCTGGTTTCCAATGAGAGAATATTGATGTCTTCTGTGATGCTCTGATTGCGGAGAAACAGCTAAACTTGGTCTAAAAAACGCTATTTGGTTCAAACGGCTTCTATATAAAAAGCACGACCTTTTTAAGAAGTTATCTTAAGAAAACCCCCTTTAAAACGAGTAATTTTGCGTCTGTGAAGAGGTGTGATGCAGGGGCGATGCTAGAGTCTGTAAACAAAGGGGGCTTAGCCCAGTTTGAGAAGAGGTATGAAAAATCCCTTTATTGTTCCACAATGTGGAAATTCTGGTCTTATAGCAGCAAAAAGATTATAGAAAAAATGGTCCCATAAATGTGGACCTTAGAAAAATATATAAAAATAAACAAAATACTGTACTGTAAAGTGTTTTAACAATGTAAATACTGTGCACCTGGAGAATAAATAACCAATATATAGTATTTGAAATTTTTACTAATGGATATTTGAGAATAGCAGCAACATCGGAGATGTGCAGAAATGACATGAGCATTATTTAAATGACTAAGATAGAAACTGTGCAAAAATCAGCCTGAATGTAACAATTTATTGAGGTTGTTGGGGACAGTGATGGTTATAAAGTCTTGCAGCTGCTGGGAGGAAGGATCTGTGATAACGCTCCCTGGTGCATTTAGGGTGCAGCAGTCTGTCACTCAAGTAGTATGCTAGCAAACATTTTTAAAATAGTCGTGTTATAACATTTTGATGTGAAAAATAATTTTCAAAAGTGTGTTAGTTAAAAGTAAAAAAATAACTGTAAAAAAGACTACATTTAAAGCTTGGTGGTTGGCACTGCTGATCCAGTCTGCCGCACTGCTCCTTATGCAACAAGTATTTATTACAGCAATGTCCACAAAGGGAGGCAGCACTGTCGGATGCAACCTGCTACTCTTTCTTTATGAGAAAGAAGATCCAATCAGCTGGTCAAAACAAATGTTCTCCATCTTATTTGTTTGCAAATATATAGGAATCAAAAAATAGATATGCAATGTTGTGTTGATGGTAATAAAAGGGTTAAACACAAGTAACAACTGATATTTGATATGATGTCAAAAATGTTAAGGTAAATTGAACATACTTTTGTTTACTGGTCAAAGCTTAAACATAAATAAGATGAGTTTTAATAAAATGTGGGGGGGGGGGATAAATGGATAACAAATTGAGTGTATTTGTCAGTTGAAGGTACGTCTGTTTCTGTTATGGAAGTTAAAAGTCTAGACATTATGCTTACTGCTAATGAGCTGATTGCAGGCTCTCACTGAGCAGGTAACCTGGTTAATTAACCAGTCTGCATCCATTTTTGTTGTACCTGCGATACTTTATGGAGAGCAGAACAAGGAAAAATATTCTGACAAGATTCAAGCTTATAAGAAGGTCATAAATACGCCCAAATAAATCACATGAAGTTGTGTTCCAGTTGTAGATAGTGGCATCTATTGTTCTTCATTTCTTAATTTGTTTTATTACGATTAGTCTGTAACAAAACTACAAGCTCTGGTGTTTTCCCTATCAAAGCAAAGTTTTCCCTTAAAAGTGATTAAAGGAACCTGAGTCAGAAAACTGCACCTGGAAATGGGTTTTTGATGCAGTTAAAATCTAAATTAAAATGAACTTGCTTAGTGGGATAAACTCAACTCTGCTGTAAACATTGCAGAACTGCTGCACATTTTGCAGCTGTTCATTATTCAATGCCAAGCAAGTCTAAATATTTAGTTGATGAATAAATAAATGTTATGATGTGATATTAACATAACTTTTTTTTTTTATGACTCCGGATCTCTTACCCTTCATCGGATGCCTCTGTCTGTCCTCTTCTCTGCTTCTCCTGTTCTCAATTTTCTCTCAGATCCCAGTTTAGATTAAAAAAAAGGAAAATCTAAAAACAACATGGGAAAAATTTTCAATTGACAAGAACTTGGATCAGATTTTCAGGTTTAAATGGTTTGCAGCCAGGCCTCCTGGCACCTTTTAATTTGAACAAAAACAGACCTGCTTTCTCTGAACCTGGAAGAGTTTACTGGGGTTAAAAACCGTTCCTTTGTTTCTGCTATTTATGATCATCAGGAAAACAAACAAGAGGGAGGTAAACATGATTATCTGCTTTGTGCCTGTGTACTCATTGACCTCTCTGTCTCTGGCACCTCTTCCTCTGTTTTGTTAGCACAGGGAAACATGGGTCTTGGCAGTTTCCACGTCCTTCTGCTGCTCCTTCTGCAGGCACTGCAGGCATCAGCCGAGGACTCAGGTACCTTTTTATACACTCCAAACTATAGAGACCTCCAGTTGATGTTGTGTAACTGAAGTTTTTAACATTTTGTCTTATGAAAGCATTCTTTCTTAATGCATTTTATCATGATTTTATGGGATAATCTGACTCAGAGAGGCACTTAATTATTAAAAGAGAGAAAAATAAAACATGTTTTCATTAATAAAAACGTTCGGGATTTATGCAGGGTTAGTTTTTTGCTCTTTTTAATCCAAACTGCCCTGAAGACTTGTTAACGACTAGCTTTGAGTAAGACTGGTTGGAACTCAGTAGAATATCATTGAATGGGGATGTTATGACAAATCTTTTATGATTTAAAAAAATTTTTTTTACGTGTTATTGTTTTTTTCCTCTTAGCTAGTAAAGCTATTTATTTTACATTTTAATGTTTTGCTTTTTGACCTGGTTGCTGTGATGTTACAGCAGCTCTCCCCATCCAGTTGTAGCCAAAGATAACATTGTTTATATGAAAGCATCTGATCCAATGGGTCTAGTCAAAGTTCAACCATAAATCCAATAGAAAATCTATAGAAATGTAATGTTGTTTTCAGAACCTAACTGATGACAGATGGTGGTAACATTGGATTTCAACCTTACCAGGGGTGTCCAGCTCAGGTTCTCTGTAGCCTTCATGCTTTCACTGTTTCCCTGTCCAACATAAAGACATTATTATTAGTCACCCTTTGTTTATGGAGAGACCTTATTATGAACCATTTTTTAATTTAATGTGATCTTTCGGACGGTACAATTGTTGGTTTTTCCACACAAGGTCCCAGTGAAGTTTCCAGAACACGTTTTTAAATTAACAAAATTTGAAAACTGTAAGATTTAATGACCCATTATTCCTGCAGAATGGTGTAAAGAATCTCAGGGGTGGAAATTAGAAACAGTTAAGGGCCAAATGCAGTGGTGGATAGAAAAAGAACATTGTTACATTTTTACAACTGACCTGTATTTAATTAATTCTTAAAGGAATAGTACACCCAAAACATGATTAGCCTTCATTTTTTACTCACCCCCATGCTGAACAACACTCTGGAGTACTTTTTTGATATCTCAAATGCATCTGGAGATCTGGGAGGCTTCTTGCTGTCTGCTGACATTCAAATAATGGAGGTGCCCAGCGCCCGAGGCAGAAAGGTCCATAAAAATCCACAAAAAACGTGTCAATGTTCCTCCATACTGCTCGTCCAATGTATTCCAAGTGTCCTGAGTGGGTAGCATCCAGAATTTACACGAAACGAAGTCATTTAGAATGTTTTTAGAGCATAAACAGTAGTGTATAGGATTTCCTGAAAGCGCGCACATGCGCGCTCACGACGCTACGGAAGCCGGCAGACCAGACCAGATGAAAGTGCGCATTCAGCGTCTGCTCTGCCAATAATGCAAGCGTAGAAGAAGAAATGTGCTGTTTACCTGTGCAAAGAAAGAAACAACGAAAGAAAAATGTCTGAGGACTTCAGTGTTGAGGAAGAGCATGAGTTCTTTGCCGAGCTGAATGCGCTGGTTTGGTCTGCCGGCTTCCGTAGCGTCGTGAGCGCGCATGTGCGCGCTTTCAGGAAATCCTATACACTACTGTTTAGGCTCTAAAAACATTCTAAATGACTTCGTTTCGAGTAAATTCTGGACGCTACCCACTCAGGACACTTGGAATACATTGGACAAGCAGTATGGAGGAATATTGACACGTTTTTTGTGGACTTTTATGGACCTTTCTGTCTCGGTCACCATAGACCTCCATTATTTGAATGTCAGCAGACAGCAAGAAGCCTCCCAGATCTCCAGATGCATTTGAGATATCAAAAAAGTACTCCAGAGTGTTGTTCAGCATGGGGGTGAGTAGAAAATGAAGGCTAATCATGTTTTGGGTGTACTATTCCTTTAATATTCAAAGAAAAAAGATTTATACTTTCACTTTTTTTGTCTATATCTTCATGTCCAGCAACAAATACAGGTAAGAGAGAAAGAGCAGAGTCAAAATGGGGGAAGGAAAGTGATTAGCAGTTTCGCTGTCAACATGTGTTTCCTACATGGAGTTAGGCATTAAGATATTATATTTAGCAAAATATATAAAGAAAGCAGGTGACAAAGGGGTTTAATGATACACATAAACAGTACTGTTTTATAAACAACTGGCTATTTTCCTTCCTTCGTCTTTGCTGTAAAACATGCATTAAAAAGAAAAGGAAAGAAGTAAATAAACAATAATAAAAAATAAAAAAAAACTGAATATAGCAATCAACCCCAAGAAATAAGTGGCAGTACCTAGATTTTAATACACACTTAAAAAATGAAGTAAAAACAGCCTCAGTTGACTGAACAACAGGCTTTACATTTCTTTAACTTGTAGTTGATAGTCTCTCCACATGTATAAACTTATTTGATCACACCTAAGGAGGAATGGCGGCTTCTCTGTTTCCCCTCATAACATTGGTACAATCCTTAATCGTTGGAGGATCCTTTGTCAACCACCTTCTTTAAGTGCTTCCTTACTCACCAGTACACCAGTAGATTTTGACCTTCCTGAGTTTCTACTAGTCTTCCCACCATTATTAGTAGAGAAGAGAAACTGAACAGTAACTGTACCTCGTTGTAATGCTTCCTTTCCTTGTTTTTCTGCTTGTGTTCAATACACAGCGCTTTGTTTCCGCTTTAGCTGGGGTTAAAATGCTTTATAGATAAAGTTGAGGATGATAATGATGATAAACTGTAGGGATGCTCATGGAATAGTGTGTATTTTATACTGTGGACGTCTGTGTGTTAATAAGGCGGATTAGAGGCCGATTTATGATTTAGCGTGCAGAATGTGTCCGACACAGTGCTTACAAGATTTTATATTCCATATAAATCCATTCACCAACTCTAAGAGGGGGTGTACCACAGAGACCGCTAGCTTGCAACACCAGGCTGCAACTTCACAGACACCCAGTGTCCCACTACAAACTGCTCTGTGGGGAGACGCCATCACATTGAACAGCTTTGTGACACTTAGTGGTTCCTAGATGCCAGTTGTGGGATGCTATGTAACTACAGGTGTGTGACGGGTGCTTGGTGGAGCTCTGTGCTACCTATGAGGCTACACCGTAACAGAATAGCATATTTCTGTTCAAATCGACAGACTACTGACCTCAGGGCTTTTGGAATAACTTTCACTTTAAAGATGAACATTTTCCCGAGGTTATTAAGGCAAAAGGAGATTTTCTGAATTGTATTCAGTCAGCAAATGTCAGCAAAACAATTTCTATGTTCGGTTATATCCAAAAATGCAAAGTTTCGCAATTGCTGTATTTCCGTAAAAAAACAAATACAATATAAACTGCACACGAATGTTCACGTGATAAACTCATGGAATATAGTTATATTTCAGCCACGACTCTGATGGGCAGCATCATCCTCGAACTGCTTCTGGTCTTCCTCGTCTTTTTAATACGCAGTAAGGTTCAGCTGCAGGTTATGTGACTCGTTTGATGTGAAAAAAAGTCTTTCCATTGCAGTTGTGCGAAAAATAACAATTGAGATCCAACAGAAAAACCACCTTTAGGTGTAAAAACCTTTTGTCTTTACAAATTGCAGTTTTTCCATTTAGCATATTTATTGTTATAATTACAGTTTGTACAAATTGATAGTTAATGGAATCACAGCCTGTGATGTAGATTAACTCTACATAGAATTGCAGTTAATTAGTGGCTGGTTCTAAAGAAAATGATGAATTTCCAGCCCTGTTAGAGTTGTTAACTTCTGTTTAAGTTTGAAGTTTGAACACAGTATTCATCCTAAACTCTGCCACTGTTTGATGCTCCAAATTACTTGGGTTCTCTCCTTATGCGGCCTGTGTTTTACAGATGTTCAACTGGAGTGTCTTTGTGAGGGAGCCACATGTTCCCTGCCCGACCGATGTCACGGCGCCCGCTGCTTCTCCTCGCTTAAAAAGGACAGCAGTGGGATGGTGTTGGTGCGAGGCTGTTTTGAGGGGGAGGAGAAGATCCGCATGCATTGCTCCACAACTCCATCATCCCTTCAGGTCATCAACTGCTGCTCCCAGGTCCTGTGCAACGCAAACACCACGAGGGCGTCCCTGGAGTCACTTCTTCCATCAGGTAAGAATTAGACTGTACAGTAGAATGAGAACTTACAGACGGATCCATTAATTTTTCTGTTTTGCCCACAGCCCCTGAGGAGAAACCTGTCCGGTATCAGGTGGAGACGTTGGCTCTGTTTGTGCTCGCCCCGGTGGTTGTTCTCGTTCTGCTCTCTGTAGTGTCGATTCTGGCCTGTAGGAGGCTCCACCATGGCCGCCTCCAGAGGCTGCAAGAGTTCGACACGGAGCAGGGAGACGGTCTCATCACCTCCAATTTGGGAGATGGCACTTTAGCTGTAAGAGTTTTGTGGTGGTTTGTTTTTATTCCTTTTTTTTTTTTTCGGATTTATTCTAGTTCCCAGAATGAACGTCTACCCCTTTTTTTTTTTTTCTCCTGCAGGACCTTTTGGATCACTCGTGCACATCAGGCAGTGGTTCAGGTCTTCCTTTCCTAGTCCAGAGAACAGTAGCCAGGCAGATAAGTCTGGTGGAGTGTGTCGGTGAGCGGCTTTTTTTGTTATTAGTTCCAGCTGTTTAATGAACAGAGTCACTAAATGAGTAAAAATATCCTTGGTTTCAGGTAAAGGGCGTTACGGAGAAGTCTGGCGAGGTCAGTGGCAAGGAGAAAATGTTGCTGTGAAAATCTTTTCCTCTAGAGACGAAAAGTCTTGGTTCAGAGAGACGGAGATCTACAACACTGTGCTGTTGCGTCATGACAACATTCTGGGTGAGTTAACTTTTACTCTCGCAGCAAAATCACATCATGAATGAACCAATCGCTTATGGGTTGGTTTTTGTTGTTTGGTTTTTATTTATGACAGGATTTATGGCGTCTGACATGACGTCTCGAAACTCCAGCACTCAGCTGTGGCTCATCACCGAATACCATGAAAACGGTTCGCTCTACGACTACCTGCAGCGAGTGGCGGTGGAGACATCGGAGGGCCTGGCGATGGCGGCGTCGGTAGCCAACGGCCTGGTGCACCTGCACACGGAGATCTTTGGCACTGAGGGCAAACCGGCCATCGCACACCGAGACCTAAAGACCAAGAACATCCTGGTGACCAAGGAGCTGCGCTGCTGCATTGCAGACCTTGGTTAGTTCAGCTGCCAAATAATTTACACACCAAGTATTTAGATCAATTACTATAATCCCATTACACATCATTTTTGTTATTAATAATATTAGCAGTAAAATCAACTCCAAATAGTGCATTAATAAATTATAGACACAGGCTTCCATTTCCCGTATTTTATAAGTTCCCTGTCTACGTTTTCAGAGGGTTTGCATATTAATGTGTTTGTGCCGGTTGTTACAGGGCTGGCAGTGACCCACACCCAGGCTGACAACCTGCTGGATGTGGGCAACAATCCGAAGGTTGGCACCAAACGTTACATGGCGCCCGAAGTGCTGGATGAAACCATTCAAACCGACTGCTTCGACGCTTACAAACGGGTCGACATATGGGCCTTTGGACTGGTGCTGTGGGAGATAGCGAGGCGCACCTACAGCAACGGTGAGCACCGTGTGTGCAGCTCGGTACTCTAATGATGCTTTTGTTGCAGCTTCTGTACAAACTAATATAAGTTTTGATTTCTAAGACAAAATTAGTTCTATTTCATCCCTACTGACCGCCAGAGGGCGGTGCTGAAAGCACTGAATGTTCCCTTCGGGCATGCGCAGTTCGAGTAATTATACCAACAGAGTCACACCTGTGACACCGGATGACCACTCAGAAGCTATATAGCCTGGTGTCATCCTTTGCTCTGCTCCTTTTTTCTTCTCGCAAGCGGTTCGCTAACTTCCCCGTTGTCTGAAGCCCGTCTCTTGACCGGAGTTGCGGTTATTCTCCGCCCTCCCAGGGCTGCAACGGGTCGATTCTGAAGATTACGGAAGGTAAGTGAGTTGTTTGCTGGTGATGGTAGCGTCCGCGCCCCCTCTCCCGGCTCACGACTTTAGCTTTTTACCTACAGCTTCGTGCTGTTTTGTTCCGAACTGGTGACGGCAGCGTTTTCGCCCCTACTCCCAGTGTGAATAACTTCACTGCCGAAGTTATATACGGCTAACGTAGTTAGCTTCTTTAGTTTGTTGGTGTTATACCTGGTGACGGCAGCGGTTTTCGCCCCCTCTCCCAGTATATTCCCTACTTTTGCATCCTTTTTTTCACCGGTCTGCGCTGCTATAATTACTGACGGCCGCGGTTTTCGCCCCCTTTCCCAACCAAGTGTGGTCTACTTCGTTGCCGAAGTTGGAGACGGCTAACGTTGTTAGCCTTTTTTGGTTTGTTTGCAGCCTTCTTCATCGGTCTGCTTAATTATAAATGGTGACGGCAGCGTTTTCGCCCCCTCTCCCAATATCAACCTTTTTTGCAGCCTTTTCGTTGGTCTGCTCTCTTAATTGGTGACGGCAGCGTTTATCGCTCCTACTCCCTACTTAAGTTGCCATACAGCTAACGTTGTTAGCTTTTTTTGTTATTGCTTTTATACCTGGTGACGGTAGCGGTTCTCGCCCCCTCTCCCGGTATCGGCCGCCTTGTGTCCGAAGCCTCTCTTGTTTTATCCGCTATAATTGGTGACGGCTGCGTTTGCGCCCCCTCTCCCGATTTTCGATAACTTTCTGTTCTTTAAGCCTTGTCGGCCTTCGACATGGATGGCTCTCACAGCTGCATAGATTGTGGGGCTGCCCTGCAGGCAGAGGATGGCCACGACCTGTGCCCTACCTGCCTTGGACATGAGCACCTTTTGGAGGCGCTGTCTGAGAACCCCTGTATGAACTGCAGCTTTATGCCCCATGCAGTGAGGGTGGCCCGGTTGGCCCAGTTGTGCCCCCAGGAGGGCTCGGACCTTCCGCCCTCTGGGCAGGTGGTTCCCCCCAAGCATTCTAAGCGCCGTGGTGGGACCACAGCATTTGTGCCCCTCCCCCGGAGGAAGCGGGCCAAACCTGACCAGGGCCTGTCCACAAGGGTGGAGCAGTTGTCAGCAGAGCTGGCAGAGATGAAGTCCTTGTTGCAGACACGGCAATCTGATCCCTCGCTCCCAGTGGTTGGGCTCTCTTCCCCACCAATGCCCGAGCTGGTTGTAGAGGATGACGTTATCTCTCTGGCTGCTTCCGCTTCTCATTTTAGAGATGAGGAGGAGGCAGGGTCCTCTCAAGCCTCTGAGGCTGGTTCATTTTCATCTCAGAGTGCGGTTGGAGAGGCCGGGTGACGGTTCCATGCGGGAGGTCATGTCTATGGCCCTGAAGCAGCTGCAGCTGGAACTCCCACAAGGAGAGGCATCCAGCTCTGGCAGTGCTTTTTTCAGACGTGGAAGGGCTCCTACTCCTTTTTCTGTACCTCCATCAGAGGAGTACCTGAAGGAGTTACACGCCTGTTGGCGGGAACCGAGAGCGCTGTCGCGTCTCTCCTCGGATGGTCGTGTATTAGCTGCCATGCATGAGTCAGTGAAGGCCGGCCTGGACCGTATGCCAGCAATTGAACCAGCTGTTGCTTCACTGATTGTGTCACCAGATGAAGCCCTGCGTCCTGATGTCCGGTGCCCGCGGACTCAATGTCGGGTTACAGATGACCTCCTCTGTAAGGCGTACAATGCAGGAGCGCGTGCTGGCCGCCTTGGCAATTCCCTGGCGCACCTCATGTTTGCCCTGTCTGCATCTGTTCAGGACACTGGTGGTGCAAGTGCGGCGATTGGTTATAGTGACGCAGCGCTGCAGGCCTTCGCGCTGATGACCAGAGAGCTTGGACGGGTCATGTCTTTCCTTGTCCAAGCTCGTAGACAGGTCTGGTTGGCACAGTCTCCTCTGACTGAAGCATGCCGTAGGACCCTCAGGGGTGTCCCGGTTGTACCAGGGGAGCTGTTTGGATCAGCTGCCTTGGAGGCGCTGGAACGGACTGCTCAGGCACATCAGACTAGCCAGCAGCTTTCCGGCCTTCGCAGGAGCATACCTGCCTTTCCCCAGCGTTCGGGCCGCCCTGCCACTACCCCCAGCGTTCAGCCACGACCTCAGACCGGTGGCAGACCTGTTGGTTCCTATCCCCATGATGTGCGGCAGAGACCGAGAAGCGACTTTCGTGAGCCAGTCTGCCGCCCTGTTAGACAGATCCGGGCCTCAAATCCTGGACGCCCTCCCCCCAGAGCCCCCAGGGGCCGTGGGGATAGAAGATGATGCCACCGGGCCAGCCGTCGGACATTTTTCCCATCAGCAGCTGAATTTCTGGGCTGCTCATGCCGTAGATCCATGGGTGGTTGCCACCTTAACCAATGGCTACAGGCTCCAGTTCCGACGGCGGCCCCCCCTCTCACACCGGGTCAAGATGACTGTCATCACAGACCCGGTGAAATCTCAGGCACTAGACCAGGAGCTTTCCGCCCTCCTGGGCAAGGGGGCAATCGAGTCTGTAGATCCTCTGCAGCAACCCAGAGGCTACTACTCCACATACTTCCTTGTGGCCAAGAAGACCGGCGGTTTTCGCCCCATTTTAGATCTAAGGGGACTGAATCGGTACCTGAAGGTCCTTCCCTTCCACATGCTCACCATAACAGAGGTCCTTCAGACCATTGTGGCGGGAGATTGGTTTACATCAGTAGATCTGACAGACGCCTACTTTCACGTGCCTATTGCGGCAGAACATCGCCGTTTTCTCAGGTTCGCCTATCGGGGGCGCCATTGGCAATTCCGGGTGCTCCCATTCGGGCTCTCCCTTTCCCCGAGGGTGTTTACTCGATGCGTGAAAGCAGCCCTCTCTCCTCTACAGGCCTCCGGAGTCAGGATTCTGCCATACCTGGACGATTGGCTTCTTTGTGCTCCCTCTCAGGTAACTGCCTCTCGGGATACGTCCCAGCTTCTACTTCATGTGTCAATGTTAGGCCTCAAAGTCAACTTGGCAAAGAGTTGTCTGGTTCCATCTCAGACAACCACCTTTCTTGGGATGCATCTGGACTCTGCTACCATGATGGCCCGTCCATCTGTTCACAGGGTGGACGACATACTCCAGCTTGTCCGTCGATTCAGACTGGGCAGGGAGTTTCCCTACATCACCTTCCTGCGAATGCTGGGCAAACTGACATCAGTCACTCGTGTCGTGCCCTTAGGGCTGCTCCTTCTGCGTCCTTTGCAGCGATGGCTCAACAGCTTTCGCCTAGACGCCAGGCTGCACAGGCATCACAGGCTAATGGTGACCAGGAGCTGCCTCCATGCCCTAGCTCCTTGGCGAGACGGGACCCTTTTGTCCAGTGGTGTTCCAATGGGGCTAGTAGTGTGTCGAAGGGAGGTGGTCACCACGGATGCCAGCCTCATGGGCTGGGGTGCCGTGTGGCAACACAGAGCTGTTCGGGGTCTCTGGGACCCAAGGGAGCGCACCGAACACATAAATGTGCTGGAGCTGCGGGCTGTGCACATGGCCCTCAGGTGCCTTCTGCCCCACCTAGAGGGAAGGAACGTGCTGATTCGGACAGACAACACCTCTGTTGTTTATCATATAAACCACCAAGGTGGCACCAGGTCAGCACGTCTCTTGAAGGTGTCGAGGGATCTCCTGGAATGGGCCTATCCCCGTCTGTGTACCCTGCGCGCAGCGTATCTGCCAGGACGGCAGAACCAGGTTGCGGACTCTCTATCCCGCCAGGCACCTGCTCCGGGAGAGTGGTCTCTTCACCCCGACGTAGTGCGCATAATCTGGAACCTCTTTGGGCAGGCAGAGGTAGATCTGTTCGCCACAGAGGAGTCGACCCATTGCCCCCTATGGTATTCCCTAACCGGGATGGCGGGCGCACTGGGCCAGGATGCACTGGCTCATCCATGGCCGCAGGTTCTCCTGTATGCCTTTCCACCCCTCTCACTGGTTTGGCCGACTCTACGGAGGGTTCTCGAGCAGGGCCACAGAGTGTTGCTGGTAGCTCCGTTCTGGCCAGCGCGGCCGTGGTTCCCGCTGCTTTGGAGTCTGTCTCACGGTACTCCATGGCGTCTTCCAGCAAGGAGGGATCTGCTGTCTCAGTTGGGGGGACAGATATGGCACCCCAACCCTCAACGTCTCCAGCTGTGGGCATGGCCCCTGGGAGGCTGACTGGGTGTTCAGACACCGTGAGACACACCGTATTGAGTGCTAGGGCTTCCTCCACTCGGCTGCAGTATGCTAACAGATGGCTCCTCTTTTCTCAGTGGTGCTCTGCCCACAATGAGAACCCGCTTTCCTGCTCGGTGCCCACTATTTTGGAGTTCCTCCAGTCTCTCCTTGATAAGGGCCGCTCTCCTTCGACCCTTAAAGTGTATGTTGCAGCAATTTCATGTCTTCACCGAACTGTTGACAACCGTACAGTGGGGCGCCATGAACTGGTTTCACTTTTTCTGCGTGGTGCTCGTAGGTTGTGCCAGCGGCCAGCCCCACGATCCCCAGATTGGGATCTGCCATTGGTTCTCACAGCTCTGTGCCACCCTCCATTCGAGCCTTTGGCACAAGCAGAACTCAAGTGGCTTTCCTGCAAGGCTGCTTTCCTGATGGCTATCGTCTCAGCTAAGAGGGTCAGCGAGCTACATGCTCTTTCTGTCAGCCCTAGGTGTATCAGGTGGAATCCAGATGGCTCTGGTGTTACCCTGTGGCCTAATACTGCGTTTGTGCCTAAGGTGTTGTCTCCTTTTCACCGTAACCAGCCATTGCGGCTCGCTCGGTTTCAGCCTCAATCTGGTACAACTGAGAATGAGTCGGAGTTGTTGTGCCCAGTAAGAGCGTTGGAGGCATACATTGCAGCCACCGCCAATCTGAGACGCTCGGACCAGCTTTTCCTATGCTATGGGGGTCCAAGGTTAGGCTGTCCTCTTTCTAAACAGCGTCTGTCCCATTGGATTGTGAGTGTCATCTGCCACGCCTACGCTGCAGGTCACTGCTCCCTGCCAGTCGGTGTGAGAGCACATTCCACCAGGAGCGTCACCGCTTCCTGGGCTGCTTTGAGAGGGGTTCCGCTGGAAGCTATATGTGCTGCTGCTTCATGGGCTTCCCCAACCACCTTCACCAGGTTCTACAGTGTCAATGTGGCTGCCCCTCATCCCCTGGGTCAGGTCCTTTTACAAGGTTCTGCTGGGCCTCCTCTGTGAGGTATGTGCTCAGGATTCCTTGTGACATCGTTGGCATTAGTCATTCAGTGCTTTCAGCACCGCCCTCTGGCGGTCAGTAGGGATGAAATAGAACGAAAGTTACGTATGTAACTACGGTTCTATGAATCCCGGATGACCGCCAGAGCTTCTCTGTCACTCAGAATCCTTGCTTTTGCGAGAAGATCCTGTAGGAGCAGAGCAAAGGATGACACCAGGCTATATAGCTTCTGAGTGGTCATCCGGTGTCACAGGTGTGACTCTGTTGGTATAATTACTCGAACTGCGCATGCCCGAAGGGAACATTCAGTGCTTTCAGCACCGCCCTCTGGCGGTCATCCGGGATTCATAGAACCGTAGTTACATACGTAACTTTCGTTTTTTTTTGTTCTCAGCATTTCTATAATTTGACTTGGGACTTTCTCTTTTATTTTTTCCAACCATGCAGGCATCGTGGAGGAGTACAAACCCCCCTTCTACGATCAGGTGCCAAACGACCCCAGCTTCGAGGACATGAGGAAAGTGGTGTGCGTGGAGCAGCAGAGGCCTTTCATCCCTAATCGCTGGTTTTCAGACCCTGTAAGTACAAAGTCGTTAGAAACTATTTTTAAGCTGCATCTAATTTTGTTAATGTTTAGAGCTGCCACTAACGACTAATCTTTTGACCATTTTTTTTTTCATTTGTCGACTAATCTTAATGACTAATTTCCAAAAAAAACCACTGCTGGGGCTTGGCAGAGTAGCCGTGGGATGATGACGGCAAGTAAAAGAAAAAAGTTACATTCACACTGTGTGTGTACGTGTGCTCATTCAATAAGACCTCTATATCTCGCACAAAATGACTATAAATGCGCGTGCATAGCGTTGTTCCAAAACATTAGCAAAGATTCTTAACATCCAAAGACAGTCTGTCGTCATACTTCACAAGATTTATAAGAATGGACATGCTAACTAGCTGTTGAAACTAGGGCTGGGTAAAAAAATAAATTTAATCGATTTTGAATCGATTCTTTTACATTTTTGCAAAATTGATGTCTAGGGAATGAGATCGATTATTTGTGTTGTGACGCGCGTGACGTTCGCATTCAAATGAGCAGGAAAGATGCACTCAAGATTACTTTAAGCCTGACAGCTGCAAATATAGCTAATAGGTTGAATGACGACATTAACAAATGGGGGCTGACCAGCAAACACCCTGTAGTTACAGACAACGCTGCAAATATGGTTTGAGCAGTGGAGATAATGCAGCTCCTGCTTGTCTGCTGTGTCCCCGCTGTGTCACGTCTGCTTGCTGGAGTGAGGCTTCACTTTTCCACTTTTCACAGACAAGTTTGCACTTTTGAGACAATTTTGTTCATCTCAAGTTTAACTGTCCGATTTACAAGTTTAGACTTTGTGTTTAAAATGACAGGAAAATTAAAATACATGAGTATTTTGAAACACAGTTGAACCACTTTCATTATTGTAAAAACAGATCGAATCGAAATGAATAGATTTAGAACTGTATGAATCAAAATCGAATCCATTCAGGACTTTGGCGAAAATAACCAGCCCTAGTTGGAACAGTAATAGTTATTGAAATCATCAGAAGCGTCCTCAACAACTCCTGTGTGTTTCCTTTTAAAGTGCTCATGCATTGCGCTGGTGTTCCCGTGATAAGCCAACGAAGACTTACAGAGTGTACAGACCAGTCTATCCCCAGCGGACGAACGTATCTCCATACTTTGGATACTTTTGGTATTCTAGCAGATGCCTACGTCCTCGATTCACACCCACAAGCTATTGCCATTTTCGTATCACGCTCAAAACCCGAACACAGATTAACAGAAGCTCGTGACACGAGATGAAAAGGGAGGCAATTTGCCAGCGGTGTGCGCACAGAACAAACTAGTGCTGTGGAGTGGAATTACCTGAAATCAGATGAGCTGTTTGCTCAGGCTGAAATAAATAAGCGATAAAAAGCTGACAAAAAATAGTCACTGATGGAAAAAATATCCGTTGACGACTAATTGCAATGCAATTAGAGAATAATTTGCATTGGCAATTTAACCTGTTTCTCTTTCATTTTTTTATTATTTTGTTATATGAAAAAGAAAAAAATATATATGATTATCTTAAAAATTACAACTGAAGATGGGTTTCAAAAAAGTTTTTAAAAAAACCACTGGATTTTGTTTTCCAAGTTTGAGACTTTTCGCTTTTCACCCAGGAAGCTTTTTCAATTCAAAATGTCTGAATTAGCGTTGAGTTCCAAGCTGCAGACATTTTTAATTGAAAAGGCTTCCTGGATGGGAAGTAAAATGTCCTCCAACCCTTGAAAACAAAGTCCAATGGATGAATTTGTACCTTTTTTGGAATGACTTTGACCTGGAGGACTGAGAATCTTCAGCAGCATACAACTGAAGATAGGGTAAACTAAAACAACTGTGACCTCTTTGGTGTTATTTCAAGAACAGTATATTTACTAATTACTGTTGTGGTTTTTTCATGGCTGTAAAACCATGACACCAAACACAAATGCTACAGGTTTACAAGAGACAATGTTCTCACAATCTATATTCATTGGAGGTTTCTGTAGCTCTACAGTCAGTTTCAGCTTTATTTTTGTACCAGGTTTGAATCCCGACCTGTGAAACTTTGCTGCATATCTGTCCTTTATTTCCACCACATTTCCTGTCCCACCCCTTTCAAAATAAAGACCACTAGAACCAAAAAGACCATGAAAAATATGCTAGAGCTCCCATCTGGTCATTTTATACTTAACACAATTTATATAAGTCGATGAAGAATTTAACTTTACCGTTTTGCTCAGACTACCACAAAGGAAACTATTTTATTGAGATATTCTGAATAACTTTAGTTAAAACCAAATTCAATTGATATTCTGTACCTATGTACTGCTAGCCAAGGTTAAATAGATATGAAATAAAATAAAGGCACAGAAGACAAATATATTTTAATGCAACCTGATGTAATAATGTAGGATTAAATCCAGTGTACTGCCTCTGCTACTGGGGACAGCTAACAGCATGAATCATTTTCTGTTAATCGGCTGGTAAAAATTCTATTATGACCTACTGGTCTGGCTGTTTCCTCCTCCAATCCAATGCCAAGGCTTTTATTTGATGGCTTAATAAGTAGATTTTGCATTTTAACCTCCACCATCTGGCCTGTTTATAATATAATAATGTTTATATAGCTTTTCTTTGAGCGGAAAGCCTTAATGAACAGTTAGATTAGATGATAAGTTGTGCAGTATTAGCTCTTTTATTTTAGCTGAAAGCTTCACTAAAGACATTGAACGTTGAGTTTCTAACATGTTTTTTTCCTCTCAGACACTCTCTGCTCTGGTTAAACTGATGAAGGAGTGTTGGTACCAGAACCCCTCAGCCAGACTCACAGCATTACGCATCAAGAAGACCCTTGACAAGATCCACAGCTCCCTGGAGAAGGGCAAGGAGTCATGAAACAGAGGCGCCTGCATGACGTCAGAGAGCGACTTCAACATGAGCTTGGGTTTAGTTGAAACAAGAGAAAATCTGAAGGATGGATGGGAACGTTTCTGCCCTTCTCTCACCCTTCCTTATCTGTGGTTGCCTTCCACCAACATCCCTCCGTTTGACTTAAAGCCCATACAGACGTTTGGAGTCGTCTCGCCTACAAAAAGCAGCTGAGGCTGCGGGACATGAGCAAGTTGCCATTGTTGGACTGTTACAGAGTGTGAGCGGTTGGCATATTATAGCACCCAATCACACTGCTTTCAATGCACATTTATAGACGGCCATGGGTTGGGCCCTCCTACACACCAAACACTACATACCGAGTGAATCCTTGCTGTTCAGTATCTGATCTCCAGCCAGCATTTTTTTTTTTTGGGCATGCGAATGTGGCATTCTGCTCAGAGACAATCAGATTGACTTCACTCATTTAGCTTTATTATAACAAGCCAACAAATATTCAACATCTTCACTTATTAAAGGAAGAAGAGCCAATAGAATCAAACTCTTTAGTCCTTTTTAAAAAAAACAAAAGGAAAAAAAAAGATATTTATGTATTGAACCTCCACTGTTACCGCACTACTGAGGACCTATGTAAGACTGATGTTTGATATGTGCAAGTGATTGTAAACGTATATTAATGCTATCGGACTGTAACCGTTGCTACAAAGTAGGAATCTGTTGATAAAATGCAGGAAAAAGGTTTAACCTTTATGTTGAAAACCAGGACGACACACAGGGGTTTAAATGACCAGCTGATTGGGATGAATGTGAGATTTTAATAGGAGGCTTTTAATGGTTTTTCTGAATCGCTCTGTTATTGATGGAATGATCAGACAACACACGACTTCATATATTTTTAGGAACCAAATTTAGGTGTTTGATTTTCTTTTCTCCACACAGGCTCAAATGTATCCATCCAGCATAAGGGGGAAAAATACTCCTGCAAGCTGCACTTTGAACACTTCATATTGTATGGATGATTTGTTTAAATTGTTGTTGTTTTTTTCCCTGTCAGAGAGACGGCGCGCAGGCAGAGTCCTTCTAGTTTAATTAAGGTTGATCTGGGCCATTCAAAAGCAATGCCTGATTTATTCATCTAAAAAACATTTCTTCATAAGGAGTTGAGCTTCGTTTTTTTTTTATACTTGGAGACATTTTAGTCAATGGTTAACTTTTTTTTTTTTTTTCATGACTAGTGATGTCCCAATCTGATATCAACATTGGATGTCAGTCCAATATTGTCCAAAAACACTTACTATGTTAACCTGTATCTAAAATCTCTGACAGTTGACTATAGAAACACTACCCTCATGTTTAGTTAATGTAACATATAGTTAGAATCACTGATCTAGTTTTTCAAACACAACAAAATGTGTAATTAAAATATGATTGGTGCTGATATTGTATCGGTTAATATGGTCTATACTAAAAGCTGCAATAATGGTATCATATAGAAAATGAAATAGTTGTATTGGGACATCCCTATTCATAAGTACTAATCGTGACACTTTAGAGTCAGGGGTTTGACAAAGGTCAGTGACCTCTTATGTGGTCAGACTAATATCAAGTTCCTGGACATGCAGAAATCAATCAACTAATTTAAATATGTTCTATATCTTTCTAAAAACAGGCTCAAATATTCAACTGGTCTCTGCCTGAATCTGGCAATAGATTGAAAAAGCATGAGATCATGTGCTTAAAGGCATCCGTGCAAACATTTTATGTTGGAGAGACAGGGACTGAATGCCTGGTACTTATTTCACCAACATTCACTGCAGTAAACAGTTCCTTGTGAAACTCGCATCACATACAGCGGACAACGCAATAATGATACATTTGTTTTTTATTGTGGATGTATATTTATATTGGAGCATGTATATATACTTTTGACTACGCGTGGATTAGAGAAAAGAGAATCTAAACATCTTTCTGCCCTATAAATAAAATAAAAAATAAATCCACCCAGGCAAAAAAAAAAAAAGGTATAGGTGCTAATGTTTTAATGAAGAATCTCCATTGCGCCCCGCTTTGCATACTTGATTAGCTGTGGGAGACGCTTCCCCTTTATCAGAGAGGAATAGACCGATCCACGGTCGTTTGATCGGTTCTTTCGTTTTCCTGACAGCAGCTAAACTTTAAAGTAGCCTCGGGGTCATCTTGTCCTCAGCAATGCCTCGCTGTAGAAACAGGAAGGAAAGGATTCACTCCATGTTCATTAAACACTGTTTTATTTCATACTGGTTCAAATCAAAACGTGGCCTAGGTGTACAAAGAAATAAGCTCACAAGTGCTGGCTTTGTTTTGAGGAAAAACATTAATGCTCTGTCTTTTTTTATATGTAATAAAACATTTACTGCACTCTTGCCTTACGATTAACGGTTTATTGTGATTTTAGTGTCTATAAAATTTTATCTTTTGTCATTGCAGTTCTTCTTAGATTTATATTCAAACCACCCCCTCAATCTGAAGTCATTTTTCTTATCTTCCCTAAACTGAAGGGAGCACACGTATGCACCTTTATCTTATGTTGATCCATGCACTGGTGTATCATTATTGCCCTCTAGTGGATACATTAGGTTTACACTAAGATGCGTCAGGATGATTCACTTTTCAGAGCAACACGGATAAAGTCACTTTAACAACTTTGCAAAGATCTTAAAGTCACTTCAGATGGTCTGGTAAAGTCTTATACGGGTTCAGGATGCCTCTGGGGTCCAGCAACATCTTGATGTCACCCATTAGTTCTACAGCAGACCTTGATTTACTATAGTAGATATAATTTCTCTTTTTTAGGCCCAGTCCATGTTCGGCACTGATGCTGCCGTGAAACTTGGCCGTCCATTCGTAGACGAATGGCTCAATGGAGGCAAGCAGGGCTGGATCCTTAGCAGGGGAGGTGATGTTAAGGTGAAGGTTACCATCACCTATGAAAAGAGAGAGATAGAGGGTGAACGTAGGACAGAAGACCTCCCGACTGACTCGTCATCAATATGCAGTCTTACCTACGTGTCCGTATCCCACCACACTTCTGGCCCGGTTTCCCAGATGCTGCCTCATGTCTGTCACCAGCTGGTAGATCCGCTCCACCGGAAGGGAGATGTCGTACTTGTAGGTGAAGCCATCGTGAGTCAGCGCCTCTGTAACACGTTCACGCATTGACCACAGCGCCTGGAGCGGAGGAAATGGAAAGTCTGATCACGTCATTGGCATTCAGCTCTTGCAGTCTTGAAACTAATGTTCTGAAACAAGCAGCGGGAAACACAGCTGGGCTTTCATTATGAAAAAAAAAGAGGAACAAAGGCTTCCAAGAATATTTTTTTGGCAAAAATTCAATAGAGTACTGGAAAGGAGGACATAAGGAAGAGAAAACTAACAGGGAAGAAGGAAATGGAATAGAAATTTCTATTATTGTTCTATCATAGGAAAAATAAAGATTTTCCGGCAAGAAAGTAAACAGGTTTTCAAAACATTAAAAACAAAACTAATAAAATCTGTTGAAAACAGAAATCAACAATTGGAACAAACTATACGGTAAACCTAGTTCAAAATAATGAAATACAGTGCAACTACCAAAGGAAGTACTCCTATAAAATTAGGTCTAAAATACTATAAAAAGACAAGAAACTCAAAACATGCAGAGCTATGGTCGTGTTCGCAAGAACCATTCATAGAAAAAGAAAGAAAGTGAAAAATGTAAATACTAAAGCCAACAGCTGTTGGAAGAAAGGATCTGTGATGGTGCACCTTCATGCACCTAGCATGCTGTGCAGCAGAACTCCTGACATGCTCTTCAATTCAGCATATATATATATATATATATATATATATATATATATATATATATATATATATATATATATATATATATATATATATATATATATATATATATATATAATTAAACACTTTCCATGAAGTGCAGATGTTAAAGTTCCTTATTACAAAACAAGCAGCCAGTGACACGCTGAGCCTTCCTGTTATCTGCTCAAAGTCTCACTCTCATTTCCTTGCAGCTTATATGAGCAGCTGGCAGGTCTTGACAATTATTTGTCTAAAAACCTTACAGCTGCGTGCCTTCTAAGATGATTCAACATCTCACCGACACTGAAAATAGATGTTTGTGTTTTTCTTCAGTAACATCCACACCAATTCGGAAATTCTTAGTATGACTTTGGGGTTCTCCAGAAAAAAAAGCTAAATTAGGTTGTTAGCTTTAACCAGTTGATTTCTGTGTATCTAGTTAAAGAGGACCTGTGCCTTAAATTAAATATAAAGATTTGATTTTGAAGGATCAATAGAGTTATCAGAACCAAATATTTTCCAGCAGATCAAAGAAGTAATGAGATTGATGCTTTGAGGTTTTAATTAGGTAGTTTATTAAAGTGGTGTGGAGACTATTTTTAGGGTTTGGCTCAGAGTAGCGGTGCCACGTGGGTCTGACTCAGAATAAAACAGTGTCTGAGTCTGTTATGGTGAAAACAAAAGTCATCCACTGCAGGACTATAAGCGCCTGATGTGCTTTTTATAGCTTAGGGACACAAGAAGAGCTCAGTGACGCAAAAGAAATGTCCAGAGTCTGGATATATATCATTTTTCTTTTTTTTATTTGACATTTGGGTTAATGCACTTTTCTATAAAAGTCTTAAGATATGGAGTTTAAAAATTTGATCAACAAGAACATACCTTTATTTTTGAGTCCTCGGTTGCTATGGTACCATCAGTAACTAGAGACGATGTCATTGCTTCCTCTAAAAAGTTATGGAGCTTCTGTGAGTCGTGGTCCGAGTCCGATCCAGAGGTTTCTATGACGATGTAGAAAGGGCAATCTGCAGAAAAGAATAAAAAATGTCTTTGCGACGTCTTCTTAAAGAGTTAATACCTCTTTAACTTTTTCAGAAGCCACATGAAATCCTGCTCGACATGAATACAGGGGACACAGCAAAAATGTGGAATAGACTTCTCTAGCCTACTTAAAAAAGGAAAATGTTAAAAAATTGAAAACCTGACATTTTGACTTCTCGTTTTCAATTCTATATTAATATTTTTTATTACTTGTTTAGTTTAGTTTGTTTTAGTTATAGTTTTAATCTTTTATGCAGTATTACTAAAGTAATACTAAAGAACTATATAATAGAAATAAATTCCCATTTTGTGTATTGCAGCAACACAAAATGAACTGACTGCCATCTCTGCCATCTGCATATGTTACAGTGGAGAAAAAGCAAAAGCAGCAACCGGAAATAAGAGCTCAAAATAAACACAAACAAAGACACATCTTCTCTTAAAATTCAGTTTCAATTAGCTTTCTAAACTCTTACCACAGTTTTAAGTTGTTTTTTTTCTCTAGTTGTTCTTTTTTTAGTTTTACTTAATGATAACCTCTATATAAACCTGGGGTCTGTTTCACGGAGCAAGTTTAACAAATTCAGATTCAAATTCTCAACTCTAAATTGATCTAGCCTAAAGTCGGGAAATGAGTTTTCGGTTTCACAACGGCTGTTATCAATTAGTTCAATCAACTCCAAGTAGATCCACTCAGGGTTGAGCTTGTGTGTAACAAGATTTAACAATTTGACAAGTCACCAGGACTAAAGGAAGCGTGAATTTTACCCCACGGTTTAATAAAGACATGAAAAAAAAATGTTTTTAAATCAAAGAGTGTTAAAGAGACAGAGAAACAGTGCCACAGCTGCAAAGGAGAATACTGTTGCTCAAGTTAATGCTTAGGTTTGTATGTAATCCGCTATGACAGACTGGTTTTACATTTATTAAATGCACTCTTTCTCTGTCTGTTTCATTTGTAAATCACTAAAATAAGATCATTCCTGATCAAAATCACACTAGACTGAACTGTAATGTTTTTTTCTAAATTACATTTTTGCAGCAGAAACTGAATTTCAGAAAGTGAAAATCTAAATTATACTACTGTAGTAAGAATTAAAGTTAAAATATCTAGAAATGTTTACACATTTTAAGTGGCCGTTTTGATTCAATATGTTAATACAGGTGCTGGTCATAAAATTAGAATATCATGAAAAAGTAGATTGATTTCAGTAATTCCATTTAAAAAGTGAAACTTGTATATTATATTCATACATTACATACAAACTCATATATTTCAGATGTTTATTTTGTTTAATTTTGATGATTACAAATGACAACAAATGAAAATCTCAAATTCATCATATCAGAAAATTAGAATATTACTGAAGACCAATAAAAACAAAGGATTTATAGAAATGTTGGCCAACTGAAAAGTATGAACATGAAAAGTATGAGCATGTACAGCACTCAGTATTTAGTTGGGCCTCCTTTGGCCTGTATTACTGCAGCAATGCGGCGTGGCATGGAGTCGATCAGTCTGTGGCACTGCTCAGGTGTTATGATAGCCCAGGTTGCTCTAATAGTGGCTTTTAGCTCTTCTGAATTGTTGGGTCTGGTGTATTGCATCTTCTTCTTCACAATACCCCATAGATTTTCTATGGGGTTAAGGTCAGGAGAGTTTGCTGGCCAATTAAGAACAGGGATACCATGGTCCTTCAACCAGGTACTGGTAGCTTTGGCACTGTGTGCAGGTGCCAAGTCCTGTTGGAAAATGAAATCTGCATCTCCAAAAAGTTGGTCAGCTGCAGGAAGCATGAAGTGCTCTAAAACTTCCTGGTATGTGGCTGCGTTGACCCTGGACCTCAGAAAACACAATGGACCAACACCAGCAGATGACATGGCACCCCAAACCATCACTGACTGTGGAAACTTTACACTGGACTTCAAGCAACGTGGATGAAGTGCCTCTCTTCTTTTCCTCCAGACTCTGGGACCTTGATTTCCAAAGGAAATGCAAAATTTACTTTCATCAGAGAACATGACTTTGGGCCACTCACCAGCAGTCCAGTCCTGTTTCTCTTTAGCCCAGGCAAGACGCTTCTGACGCTGTCTGTGGTTCAAGAGTGGCTTGACACAAGGAATGCGACAGCAGAAACCCATGTCTTTCATACGTCTGTGTGTGGTGGTTCTTGAAGCACTCACTCCAGCTGCAGTCCACTCTTTGTGAATCTCCCCCACATTTTTGAAGGGGTTTTGTTTCACAATCCTCTCCAGGGTGCGGTTATCTCTCTTGCTTGTACACTTTTTTCGACCACATCTTTTCCTTCCCTTCGCCTCTCTATTAATGTGCTTGGACACTGAGCTCTGTGAACAGCCAGCCTCTTTAGCGATGACCTTTTGTGTCTTGCCCTCCTTGTGCAAGGTGTCGATGGTCGTCTTTTGGACAACTGTCAAGTCAGCAGTCTTTCCCATGATTGTGTAGCCTATAGAACTAGACTGAAAGACCATTTAAAGGCTTTTGCAGGTGGTTTGAGTTAATTAGCTGATTAGAGTGTGGCACCAGGGGCCATCAATTTTGAACCTTTTCACAATATTCTAATTTTCTGATATGATGAATTTGAGATTTTCATTTGTTGTCATTTGTAATCATCAAAATTAAACAAAATAAACATCTGAAATATATGAGTTTGTATGTAATGTATGAATATAATATACAAGTTTCACTTTTTAAATGGAATTACTGAAATCAATCTACTTTTTCATGATATTCTAATTTTATGACCAGCACCTGTATCTTTATTACATTTCTTCATAGTCAAAATAATACAAATGCTTACTAGTAACAATAGAAATATGGAGATATGAAATTAATTTCTGGACATCCAGAATGTTTATTCTAGATGTTTCATTTTGTTTGAAATGTTCATTTTGACAAGAATTTTTTTTTTTTTTCAGATATTAGGAATACATATTCATTAAAACTAATGCATATCAAAACGGCTTGTTATCCTATGTACTAAGGGCATGGGCACACACCAGAGATAGGATTGGCCAGCTTCAGGTGTGTGTTCAGCAGCCTCATGCATTCACTATCCAGGAACTCAAAAGCTGACAGAATTTCTCCCAGCATGCCTTTGGAGAGCCTAAAGGTTTTCAGCAGCTGGTCAAAGGTTTCACAGCCTATAAGAGAAAGCAGAAACACTCATTTCTCAGTCTAAAGTGTGGTTTGTTATGAAAGGAATATGTCGAAACTCCTACCAAGGAAAACAACATTAACAGATTTGGGCTTTTGAGGACAAAGGATGGAGATGGCAGTGATGACACCCAAAGTGCCCTCTGAACCAATGAACAGTTGTTTGAGGTCGTATCCCGTGTTATCCTTCCGCAACGTGGACAAACAGTCCAGGACTTGTCCGTCAGCCAGCACCTAAACAACACATGCAGAAAAAAAGGGGAAACTATGAGGCAGTCATGATGCTAAGTTAAACAGGCGCTGATTTAAATGATCCGCTTACAACTTCCAGGCCAAGCACGGTTCCGTGTAGGGAGCCATAGCGGAGCAGCCGCAGCCCACCCGCGTTAGTGGCCACATTGCCCCCAATATGACAGCTGCCCTTTGCTCCAAGATCCAGCGGCATCATGTAGTCTCTCTCCTCCAGGTAGAGGCTCAAGTTCTCCAACACACAACCTGCCTGACAGGTTAGAATACCTGAAGGAAGAAATATGAAAGTCGTTTTTCAGAGGACTTTATTTTAACTGGTATGTAGCTGGTTCAGGTTAGCCTTACCAGAGATGTTATCAAAGGAAAGTATGTTGTTCATGAGAGAGGTGGAGAGGATGATTTCATCATACACCGGCACGCTGCCACCAACCAGACCGGTATTACCTCCTTGAGGGTTCACAGCCAGGTTACGACTGTTACAGTAACTAAAGAGTGACAGCAAAACAAAATGAAAGGATGAAACTTCGACTCCATTCAAAGGGCTTTGAAAACAAATCTCTGCTAGAAAAGCGAAAAAAGATTGGGATTTTCAAAAAAGCTGTTTTGGCCCACACCTGTGGATACATCTGAATAGAACCCCTTCTAGGATTAGCGTTTCTTCGACATGCTTTATATGCTTTCATGGGTTGCATGACCAATAATGTAGAATGTTTTGTTTTTTTATTTTACTCAGGATTTGCTGTGGGCGATTTGGGTGCTTTTCTTATCAATTCTTTCCTTTTCCATTATGTCTGTGTAGGGGAACACGTTTTTTACCACTTGCACTATACCCTTTTTAATTTTATTGACTGATTAAGCAAACAGGAGATGTTAAAAAAAATGGGTTTTAGTCTACGTGAATCTGTTAGTATACTAATGTTTTAGTATTTATATTATGATTAAAATAGGCATAGATTAATAGGCTAATGAAGATTCCCAGTCATCCAGGTCATAGTCATTCCGTAAAAGTTCAAAAAATATCCACTGGACTTGTCCAGTGGATATTTTTTGAACTTTTATGGAACATAGATTAATAGCTTTTACAAATGAGGTAACTTCTGATGGCAGGTTGCACTGGGCTGTATTGGAGTTGTGCCGAGTATTATCCTCGTCTATCTAATAGAATCCCAATAAAACAAATTAAAGGTTATGTCTAGAAAGGGAAAAAATATGGATAAGATAAGCCTGGATGTTCACTGATGTACCTGAGAATTTTTGCCGCTTCCTGTGTTGTCTGAGGTCTCAGCAACACTTCACTTGAACCTGCATGAGTAAAACAAATGGAAGAATGAGATCTAAATAAGAATAAATAAAGTAGAACATGATGCCTGCAGCTCGGGGATTGACCTCTCACAGACTTCAGCCAGTCTTCATTACTGGACTGCAACAGGTCAGGGTCAGTGATGACCCTGCCTGGTAAAATCTCCCTGAATAAGGCCAGATCCTCCTCTGTTATCCTTGAGAAAGGTAATCTGTGTGGAGCTGCAGCAGGAGATGACCTGGATCCATCTGCTCCAACATGAAGCTTATGACTGAGGCTCACACTCTGTAGACAGGGGCCCCTGGCAAGAAACTGCATCTGGCTGTGTACAGGTGGGGGCTGTGATTTGGACAGGTGTCTCAGAGCTGTCCTCAGCATTGTTGTTCTCTGGAAAACTCCAAACATGACTAGATGACAGGTCTAGAGGGTGGAAAGAAAAACATGTGATTTTTGCTTTTTTTCCTCTCTATAACCAGTAGTCTGAGTAGGTTAGGTTAGCTCTGACAAAAAAAACATCTCAGCTAAATATTACAGTCTTAATCAGAAATGCAGACTTTGCCTTTAAACATTTTCATAAAGCATTTAACAAGCAGTTCGGCTAAGTAACACTTCTGGTCCCAAGCTTCCACTGCGATGCATTATAAACCAGAGTGTTTAATCACTGACCTGAATGACATTACACTGTTAAGAAAATAATAATAACCAACCGTAAGGTTTTCATCTAACTAACAGCATTTCCGCTCCCGTTCTGTACTTTTCCTTCATACTACTTTGTGATAAAGTTCAAGGACGGCTAAGTAATTTCAAGATTTCAGTTTGTTTACAACTAGCTTGCTAACAAAAACCGGAAGTTGTACCTGGTGCGAAGTTACGTAGCAACCAATCAGAAGGCTGCTTGCAGATTCAGCCAATAAGCGAGGCTTTTACTGTGATTCCGCGTCCAATGATAATGATACTTTTATATTTTATTGCTAATCTACTAAAAAACATTTTTGAGTTAACAAGGAGATGAAATAAATATATTTGCAATACAATGTTGGTTGTTAGATGAAATGTCACTATTATGTACCTCCTTATATAATTTTTAGCATGTTTATTGTATATCATATGTCTTTATTACACTCATCATGCTATATAATATGTAACATGATTATTTGCAAAAGTCTTTTTATGTATTCCCCAAGCAACCCTGTATGAAAAGTAAATTAACTTCTGAATGGCTGCTCCTCCCTCTGCAGCAACAATTGTCATTATGCATTTACTAACTAACTTATTTTTTTTATAATATTTTATTTTTCAATTTTCAGTAGAAATAGACAAAAACAACAACAATCAACAACAATCAGGCTCAGACATAAAAAAATAAAAAAATAAATAAAATAAATAAATAAATAAATAATAATAATATAATAATAATAATAATAATAATAATAATAAACGGTTACAACAGACAAATGAATGGAAAAATAACAAACCTGCCAGTCACAAATAAGCCGAATAGACACACTGTCTCAACCAAGTCCCAGGTAAATAGTCTGGTGAGGCTCTCACCTTGTTCTGGTCACATCCAGATGGTTCAGAAATGGATCCCAAATAGCTGAGAACTTTTCAAGTGAATTAGCTCTCGTAAACCGAAGTTTCTCCATTTGTATGACAGAGGTCATATCAGTCCTAACTAACTTATAATCAGTTGCCATAATCACTGTGAATGGATTCCAACAATGCTTATATCTCAATTAAATTAAGTAAGCCACTCCAGTTTCCTGATTGGATTTTTGCCAGAAGTAGACCTGCAGGTGAATTAATATTCTGTTCCAAACCCCAAGTATACATAAACTTTAGGTCAATATCTATTGCCTATTCTGCATTAGTATAACCAGAAAGAAAAATAAGTTTCATCAGTAACAGCAATAGCTGGAGATCATGCAACCTTTAAAATGGTTTGATGTTGGGATATTTATTCTGTTAAAGATAGGCTCTGTGTATGCACCCTGATGCTCCATCTTTCCAGTTATTTTTCCTGAAAAGCGATCACTCGGGACAAACTCTTTAAATAACACTTCATAACTTAAATGTATTAAATAACCAGGAGACATGACGACAGATTCTGATAGAAATTGTAATCTTACTCAGGTCAGAGAAATTGTTTAGAGTTTACAGAAGGCAGCTGCTCACCTCGGAGCTCACCTCTCAGGAAGTGGCCCTGATTAACAGTTAAAAAGGCATTTTATACATCTCCAGTCGGCCACATCATCATATTTTCATACACATTAGCAGATGATTAGACATCCATGGCTCCAGCCTTATCACAATATTACACTTTTTTCTTAGCTGAAGGACGCCACTCTCATTCCATTTCCAAATCTTTGCCATGTACAGAATGAAGATTATAACTGTATATCCAGATAGAGGAACTGTCCTAATAAGATTAAAACATCAGTTCTGATGCACAAAAGGCAGCCCATACCAGGGTGTAATAAACTCACACATCTTTAATGATAATTATCCTAACACTTCTCTGATCTGCTGTGTTAGTTTTACATCAGATTTAACAAATTCCACAACTTCTGAAAATGTTTCGCTTCTTCAGTCTATAGATTGGGTTTCCAAGTGTCTTTTTTGGGGTTCTTTGTAAAAAAAAAATTTAATATAGACTTTTATGTTCTTTTTGATCAGCATTTCTACCCAGTCCCCTTTGCTGTTGAATCAGAACATTCTCTTTAACTGAAGCTAGTGACTACTGATGCACTCAGTGTTGTTCTGGGTTGTTCAGTGACCTCCTGGATTAATCAGTGATGTACACTTGAAGGGAATTTTGACAGTTGATGGTCGTTAAATTTTACCACCATTTATGAAAAATTATTTTACTGAGACTTCTTCAGAAATGTCTTTTAACCCTTTTGCAGAATTTGCTTTGCACTGGAGAAGTAATCAGAACTCGGTGTTGAAAATGAACTTAGCTTTGGATAAAAAATTAAAATAAAAAAATGCTTGAAAATGTATAATTAACGAAGGGGGTAATTACTTTTCCACCCTAACTCCTGATGGTTTTGACTCCTGCTTTTTCTTAATAAATGTAATTAGAATTTGAAAGCTGTTTTGTCCAATGATCCCCAATATTCAAAGGTTTTTATGATCGGAAAATGTAAAAGTTACAAAGAAGGCGGTTTTGTTCAAAGTGCTTCATAATATAAGAAAGACATACAAGCAGTTTTAAGCTGCTTTGCATCATTGTTACTAAAAAATCTTATCCAGACTCAGTGATTGTACAACTATGAATATATGTTTTTTACAAAGCAAACATTTAATTTAATTCTATTGGTTTTGTTTCTAAGCTGAAAGGATAAAAGCTATGAATGCCAAACTAAAATATATACATAAACCCATTAAAAATGGGTCTAATTCATTTTATCTACACAGTGCTGCTTCACAACACATCATCTCAACCTCAGCAGCTTAGTTGCACCTAGACTATCACCACTTCAACACCTCCATTCAGCTTCTGGCTAAAAGTTTGTCCACCCCTTGAGTAAACTCTGCTGACTGTAGATTCTGGAGCGTAAGTCACTGTCCACACTTAAACATTGTCATAAACATAGATGGAAACGATTTCTGCTTCATTTTCAAGCCCTGTAGGCTTTAAATGAAGTTACAGCTGCCCACACGAACAACCCACAAATACTCTGGAGAAAAGTTTGTTGTTTTTTCTTACAGTTAGATGATAGAGAGTGAGCTATTTGGCCCTTTTAACAGGTGTTTGGAAGGAGAAAAGAGAGGTTTGGAAAAAGCATGGTGGCAGTAATCATGCTTAAGGGTGCTTTTTGATGTGAGTCATACTGGTGCAATTCACAAAGTTGATGGAATAATACAGAATTACTTCCAGGTTCAACTTCACCTCAAACCAAGATAGATGATTAAAGGTGTTGAGATGACAATGAGTGAAATCTAACATCCAACCTGGTTTAGTATCGTAATGTTAGGGAAAATATATATATTCTATAAGCATGTCTCTCAAAGCAGTTTTAATAAATTCAGAGTCAAATCCTCAACTCTGAATTGATCTAGCCTAGTATGGAAACTTTTAGTTTTTGGTTTCACAGCAGCTGCTGTGAGTTGGTTCAATCACTCAGAGTTGAACGTGCGTAACAAGTATAAACAAGCCATCATCAATGGAGCCCAGATTCAACCAGTCACTATGACAACAGGCAACAGGAAGTGCCTATTTCACCCATCTGGAACTAGAGGTTTTAATGCAGAAATAAAAAAAAAAAATGGAGAATGTGTTTAAAAGAAAGAAACAAGGCTACAGCTGCAAATGAGAGGAAGATGGTGTAGATTACTGCTCAAGTTAATGGGTTGGTTTATATAAAGTGGGATGTGTCAGGCCATTTTAACATTTATTCAAAACACTCTCTTCTCTATTGTTCCATTTGTAGATCACTAAAAAAGTTTCCTTCCAGATCAAAATCTCATCCCTAGTTGGAACTGTAATAGCAGATTTTCTCAATTACACTTTTGCAGCAGAAACTGAATTTCAGAAAGTAAAGAAATTATACTAGTAAGAATTACGCTTTATATGTTTAGAAATGTTTACACATTTTAAGTGGCTGTTTTGACATTTATCAGCTTTACTGAATATGTCAAAATAATACAAATGCTGACCAGTAACAATAGGAATATTGAGATCAGAAATTCATTTTTAGATACCCAGAATGTTTAATCTAGATGTAAATACTGTCATTTTGTTTAAAATGGTCTTTTTGACAAGGATTTTTTTTCTTCTTCTTTCAGGTATGTGGAAATACTCTACATACTCTCAGTATGTACTGTAAAAAAATGATTCCCATGTTGCTCTTATTAAAAAAACAAAAAACACATAAATCTCATACTGTCAACTGAGTTCTCTCTTTGGGTATTTAATTATCTGTGAACGGATGCCGTCCATTCTTTAATAAGATCCTCAGCAAATAAGTTAAAAGATCTAGCCATTTTTTTTCTTTAGTTAAGAAATTAATTATAGAAAGTGTTTGCAATTTAAAACAAAAAAATAGCAGGGTTTTAGAATGTATTCTAAATTATTTTATGGGGACAAGTTTAGTCTAAAATGTGTTAAATTGCATAAGCCCTTGTGTTTACAGGCCAGATTAAAAGTCAGGAATGCCAAATTCTAACTTGAGCGTCCAGTTCTAGCTTTTTCCATGTATTTGAGGTTGCCTTTTTTCTAAAAAATTAGGACTAGAAATATAATGACATCAAAGGGATCATACTGAAAAAAAAAAGACTTTCAAAAATGGGATGATTGAGGTGGGGTTCAACGATTGCATCCCATTATCCACCAGGATAAAACAAGATTCAGAGAAAACAACTTAAATCAATACAAAATTATTTATTAGAAACGTCAACATCTTCACTTTTATCATGCAGTCTGTAAACCACATATCATGCATTTTTTTTCACATTTCAGTGTTTTTGTTTTATTTCTCAGCTTACAGTATGAACGGCTCTGTACATTAGGTTCTCTGGTGGTTCTAACCCGTTGATTCGTTTTTACACTTTCAGTGAATGTGACACAGTACCTTCACCGACGTAACAGTTTTTGAGTGCAGAGAAGGTTGAGTCCTTGGTAGAGATGGAGTTTTTCATTAATTGGGTCCGAACTGATGAACATTCATCACCAAGCTTAAATAATACTGAAGGACAGAATGGAATCTTAGCTGCCATCACAGAAAACAAAAAACAAAAAAACAAAAACCCTTTAATAAAAATGATGTCACCTTTCTGGGTATGTACAGCATGCAGCAGTCTCAGGTTAACACCAACCAGGACATACAAGCATTACTTCACATATTAAGTATAAAGATAAGCTG